TCCGTGGCCACCAGAATCTTGGCGCGGCTGGCCCGGAACTTCCCCAAACTCGCCAGGCGCTGACGCTGCGACTGCAGCGAGTGCAGGCCCGTGACCTGCCGTGTGCGGAACCCGTGCGGAGGTTCTGGCAATTTTCTTCGGGAGTGGGATCTGGACAAATGCCTCGAAAAATAGAAGTGCAACGGCGCCTCAAAACCTAAGATGTCCAGCATGGTGGTGAGCAGCTGGCATTCATCCAGGCTGGCAGCAAAAACTATACAGCTCTCCTCTGGAAAATGCTTCTGCAGGAGGTAGTGCAAATAGTTGATCTGGACAGACTTGGGCACAAACACATAGAGCCTGTAGCAGTGTTCGCGAGCTGGTGGAATACTCATGTTTCTACTGAACAGGGGTTTAAAAAGAACGCAAATCTCAAAATCGACCAATAACCGCGGAGGGAGCTGAGTAAGGGTCTCCAAACTCTCCTCGTTGGGATTAGCGTCAATCAAAGTGAGCTCCTTACCCTTCTTGAGCTTCTCAATGCACTGAGTGACGGTTGCAGAGAAGAACAAGGTTTGCCGCGATTTCGGCAGCACCTCCAGGATTTGTCCCAAAGGGTCGTCGAAAGTTTGGGTCAACAGCTGATCCTTAGCACCATCGAGCCCTTGCACAAGCAAACGTGCATATGCATGCACTGTGGCACCAACAAAGGAATCTGACCTGGCCATGCGTCAGCTTCATCCAGAACCAGCGTGTGTAGCTTGCGAAATGCTTTGGCCAAAGCAAAATCTCCTCGTAACAGGTCCGCCAACCGTCCAGGGGTTGCAACAAGTATGTGGCTTCGGTCGGCAATGGTCTGGCTCTGGATGGAGAAGTCTCTGCCTCCCACAATCTCTGCCACAGTCACGCCGATCGACTGGCCCATCGCGCGGAAGTTCTCAGTGACTTGAAAGGCCAACTCGCGAACAGGCACCAATACCAGTGCGAAAACGCCATAGGGATCTTTGGACAAGTGGTGAAGAATCGGAAGGCTGTAGGCGGCCGTCTTCCCACTTCCGGTCCTCGCATTACCTGCAATGTTCTTTCCAGCCAGAATAGGTGGAATGCACATTGCCTGTATGTCAGTTGGGTGAGCCATGCCCAGCTTGGCACAGGTGTCTACAATCCACCTTGCCAGTCCCAACTTGGCGAAGGACACATCCGTTTGAAACAGCGACTGACGCGGAGCTGCTGGCGCAGGCTTAACCGCTTCTGTGGCTTGCCGTTTCCTCTTTGGTGTCTCGGTGCCACTCGGGTCCTTCCTCCGCTTTCGCAGTACCATGCCTATGCTGGCGGCTGATAGTTAATAGCTTGATTAGCTGACATCTGGATGGTGCCCAGGCACTCAATAGACTGTAGTGGCATTGTTCCCACTCAGTGTTTACGACATTCTGCTGCTACTTATCTGCTCTGATATGCTTCCTGGTCGCCATACTCAGCTCTTACCCGGGCAGGTTGCCATTGTGCGCATTCTGAGGCCTGGGTGTGCAATGAAAGAGTCACACCCCACACCGTTCAAGCTTTTGATGGCGACTTCATCTCTCACAGGCGCTGCGAGCTTTTGAGCCGAGCGCGTACCATCATTGCAACAACCCTCTTCTGTGGGTTGATGTCCGTGACTTCCAAACTCCGTTGCCTTTTTCACTTTTTCACGCCTGCGAGGCGGCTTGCACGTAGCCAAGCGAGTCCAAGAATGACCCAACTGAATGACGGGCGGCACAATGTGTACCGCCCAGGAAAGGCTCTCACTCATGTCCCCATCTTCTCTCTAGCTCACATTCCATCTTTTGTGCCTAACAATTTAACCACAGGAAACGGCCACGTATGCTTTCCGCTGCATACAACAAACTTCGGTGAGAGAACGTGTTGTTCAGGGGGGCTTGGGCAGCAATATTTGGACGGCGAAACGTGAAAAGGCCGCGGAAAAACATGTTGATTCTTGAACCAAGCTTCGACCACATCCCAAAAAGTCTTACCCCAGTCTGATTCGAGTGTCATCCAGCCCCTCAGGCCTGCCCTGCCAGCAAGGATATGAGGGGATGAGTTCACAGCTGACAAGTCTTGCCAGCGCGCCTGTCAAATCCTGAGAAAATGCACTTCTGCAGGAGACCAGGCACAATTAGTTTTGATCTTTGCCAGCATTGAGCTGACAAATGCATTGCGTGCAGCTCTATTCACACACGTCTAAATGCCCGCAGCTCCACAACAACAGCACACGCGTACATGTCAAGTTTGCCAGCTGACATGCCCAAACCACTCCAGCATTGATACCTGCCACGTCTGTCTGGCTGACGGCAGCCATACAAGTCTTCGCGCATTCTCGGCAGAACTGCGTCCTCCTTCCATTCGTTCGCGGGGGGGCGTGTCAGAAGTGCCTGGGGAAAATCCCTGTTTTGGGAGACGGGCACTTGCACTCGCATCCAACAATCCTTGTTTGGAGGCCAGCAAAAGGTAATGCAATCCTGAAGCCTGACATGCGAGAGCGAATGCAACACGACCCCCTCCCTTGAAACAATTTGCAAACGGCCTCACTTAGGGAGGCAAAAGTCACGAGCAAGTCGGGAATTATGTTTGCCCCACGCACAAAGGGCACAAGGCAAACTGGCCAAGCACGCGCCTGGATCCCAAGAGTCTCTTGAGTGACAGGGTGCTGTCAGAAAACTGCAGCCTTTAGGACCCACAGCTTGTGCCGCATAGCTCGACATGCTGGCAAGGCTTGGCAAGCCGAAACAGGGCTTCAAACATTGGCAAAAAGCAGCCGTGCTCTGAATGCTCTCGGCTCCACATGGCCGAAGCCGCTTCCTTTTGAAGCCCTGTCCATGGCAATGGGCTCTCAAGCCTCGCGCGCCTTACGCACTAACTGGCAGCTCAGGCGGGCTCAGTGCATGAGCTGCGAGAATTTGGAGCTTTGGAGCCATCAGCCTGGCACCTGACACCCGTGCCAACGCAAGTACTGTGGTCTGTCTGTGAAGCGGGGGCTTGGAAAGTGGTTGCCACATCTTCAAATCATGTCCAGTTTGGGGGGACCGCAGGCCAGACTGGCCAACGCCTGCTGCGTCACGCTGGGCAACGTCTGGTGGCAGCGGAACATCAAGTTTGCTGGCGTGGGAGACTTGCGCAGGCTGGCAATGAATATCAGGACTTCCTCCACATGCTGATGTCCCATGAGCTCGCACCGGTACCTTTGCGACAGTTGAAGCTTCACTGGTTTGCACCTTTAGGGGTATATCTAGCACGGGCAGGTTATGAAGAAGAAGATCAGAAGACCTTGGACCAAAACATCTGGATTGGTGCCATCCCAGCCACGAGGTGAGAATCACCATGGTCACAGTCAGAAAGCCAGCAAGCCCGGCCGAAGCCAGGAATGGCACGACATCGTTGAGCATTTCGAAGGGCAGCCATTTGCCAAACATTGACAGCCAAGCAGTCGGCAGTACCGCCGTTAGATTCAGGCCTCCAACTCACACGCGTAAAGAAATGCAAGCTGGGCAGTCAAAACGTCAGCGGGTCTCAGGACCGAAGGAGCTAGACATGCGCAAACCATGCTAAACATCTCAGGTCTGCGTCCAGCCTAGACTGTCGAAGAGATGAGAACTCAGCTCTCCATCCAGCTCATCCAGGAGCTCGCGAAACAAAGGCATGCCCTCCTCGATCAACGGAAACCCAGGCGACCAAAGCAACCTCAGATTGGCGCAGTTCTTAAAACAACATGCCAACATTGCTCATCAGCTGCGACGAAAGCAGAGCTGTTCGTCCGCCTTTCGCTCATGTTGCAACTTTGTGCTTTTGTAAGAGCGGCTGCGGTTCAGCCCAGCTTGCGCTGGCCATGCTGCACAGCGGACGCCGTATCAACACTTCTCCACCAAAGTAAGGGGATTGGAAGGGCCAGGGGAACTTCAAAAGTTGTTTGCGTATTCCTTCATGGTTTTGTCCGGTGCCCTTCCGTGAGCCCCAAGTAACTCTTAACAACTCATTACACTTCGAGCCTACAACAGTCTCAAGCTCACACCTCCGACTCACGTCACAGCGTCTGAAACGCCGACATGTAGTCCACAAACAGCTGCTCGGCATCAGGTCCTGATCCAGTTCAGGATTCCAGAGTGGCATCCAAACATGGCATTTCAGAGAGCGTTTCTGCGTTTCTGCGTGTTGTTTTTTGTGTCATTTGGGTCACCGTATTTTTTTCCCTCTTTGCCCATGTCCAATGCCAACACACGATTCTCCAGAATGGCAACAAATTTGGGCATTTTAGGACCCGCATTGTGAACCCTGGACCCCCCACCTGCTGCCAGGACTCCCTTACTGCAAGTTACCGCCGCTAAGAAGCACATACCCTGCGTATAGCCCAGTGTTGGGAATCTCCTGGCGTAGCCTGCCGGAAAAGCACACTCTCAGCTTTCTGAGGAAGGCCCCTCCATGAAATCTACGCTCTACTGCTTTCTCACGTTTGATCCTTTTGGCTCCATGCATCTTAACGTAACTTGAGCACGCTCGAGCACGCTCACTCCATCCCAAACCTTGAGCAAACGAAAAACCGCAGTGCTTCGATGGCTGAGATCTCAATCCGTGGCGACTGGCAAAGTTGGAACCCTAGGCACCCCGTGCGCAGCTGAACAGTCCCATCCAGGATATCGCTCCAAATTGCCCCATGAATTATGCGTGCTTTCGGTCGGCAGCCTAGGCCACTCTCTGAACTTCAAGCTTAGAGTAAATGTCCTAAACACCTTCAACACCAGCGAGTCATGCCCTAACAAGCATCCTTCAAAAGCGAACCGCCAGCTCAGACTGCCCCCAAGCCTCTGAGAATGGCTGCCATGTGCAGTCGAAGCTGGTCTACTGCTTCGTGGCCTGCACCCAGTTGCTAGAGCGAATGTGCCCATCTCGCGAATGTGACCAAAACTTGAGGCCACTTGAGGCGCAGCTTCAGCTGACTTTTGCGGGTTGACAGGGGAAGCACCTGACGAGAAGAAAAGAAGAATGGCAAAGTACTCAAACAGCCCTGCGTCCTGGGCGGTCCCCTGCTGGTGCAAAGCCAGGAATCTTCCAAAGCCAAATCTCTTGGTGCGAATACTGGGCAGCCTGGCTCCATTATATACTTGCTGAAGAAAGAGGGGCGCTAGCTAGATTGCCATAGCTTTCGTGATTGGTCGCTGCTCTCATCGGAAAAAGTCCCGCGACAGAAAAGCCCCCCCACACTGCAATTGCAAGTCCTTGAGGTTGCACTTCCAGCTGATCAAAGTGCACGTCCCAGCGCACCATGTCTACGCCAGCGAGCGACCAAATCCACGAGAACCCGCTGCCTGCGAACACCCGCGCCACGTCGCGGGCGATGATCTTCGCGTGGCCTCGGAACTTCTCGTCGTCGAAGCCCTGGGCATGGGCCATAGCGCCCGCCTCAAAGCGCCCGCGCAGACTTGGGGAAGCAGAGCGGCACCGTCCTGGCGCGCGTTGGTCACTTGAGGGTCTGGGCTCACGGGTCTCCATGGGTCAAAAGGTCGAAAAATCCACATCGTGGCCCCAGTGAACATCCCAAGGCTCACAAAAATAGACAAAAATAGGGGTCCAAAATGGAAGCATTGGTCTTGACCCACAGCCACAGTTCACGGGCACCACCCCCTCCTTCGTCCCCAGACTTGGGCGAAAAGACCGCCTCCTCCAGGCAGACCAATCACTGTGCACAGTTGGGCAATATGAAGCCAAGGCGCATCAAACGACTTGCCTTCCTCCAAAGGGTGAAGCAAACGCACCTGGGATCAGCACACTCAGTTCACTGGAATTAAAAGGATTGAATCAAAACCAGTCAATGTAAAGAATCAAAAGGGCGGCTGCACGGTCCTCTACATAGTTTGATCTGCCCAGGATTTTGATTGGAGCTCAAGTGGCCCATTGCTATATTGCAAAGCCGAGTTGCCTCAAAGGAATGCCAGTCATCACGGGTCGTCAGCTTGCGACCTACCGGACATGAGGTCATTGCATTTACCACCCCAAAACATCACCCATTCAAGTTGAACGATCGTGAAAGAGAAAGGTTCCATACTTCGGAACAGGGGCAAAAGAAAGTGTCCATGTAGGAGTCTTGAGTCTTTCGAAATCACAGCGCACGGCCAGCAACTTGTTTGTCACAAGAAGGAACCAGAACTCATCCGAGGAGCCACTCCGCAAGCCATCACGCCATCCCAAGCTCTTCAATGGACTGGCTTCGTCCAGCTGTTCCTCATGGAGAGCGTGCCTCCGCTGCCAGGCATTGCATATGCAAGCCCTTGCCAAATGCACCACCCGCAGCGGTATCTTCCATGCGTTCAAGATTGCACTTGAAATTGAAATGCCCTCCACGTCAAACCATATGGGTCAAAATTAAACCACCAGGATTCCATTTGGGGTACCTATTTTTGACCCACACCCACATTGTGGCTCAGGTCTTCTTCGCCCAAGCTGCGACTCTTCTGAATCTTCTGGAGCCATTGTGCTCAAGCTGCTGGAGCATGCAAGTGTGTTGGTCGAGCATGACGCTGAGCCTGCCAAGCAGCTTCAGGAAAATGCTGTGGACACTTCTCAAGAACTAGTGGAACGCTGCCTGGCCGTTGGTTGTTCTTTTCTTTTCTCTTTTTTGGTTTTATTTTTTTCGGGGGGGGGGACCCTCTTCTGGCTCGCGCTAAAATAGATTTGAAGAAATGGATGGCTGCTAGTCTGCTCGACATCTGTAACCCCTCTGCCAAGCCTGGTGAGGCCCTGCATGGTCGGCGCGGCCCGTAGCCATAGGAGCCCTCACAGGCATCCAGGGAGGACAACGCACTCTGCAGCCACATGCTTGGAGCAACATTGCTGCGTGGGCGCGCAGTCAAGACATCACGTGGGAACTGGCGCGAGTGACGTGCTTGCCGGACTTCTTTCGTTCGTGCTCCAAATCTCGGACAACTAACCGCATTGCGAATCCTAATCACCGAACTCTGGGAAGATATGTGCAAGCGCTATCTTCTTGTTGTTTTCCGATCAAACGACAAACGGTACCTTTGTTCTTACGGTTCTCCTATCAATCAATGACACTCGCCGTATTCCTCCCAACGTTTTTCCAATCAAATGACATGGTCTGTAGTTCAAGCTTGGCGTCGTATCTTTTCAGCAAAGTAATGGTACACTTTGGCAGCTCCGGCTTGAAAATCGCAAGTACCTTGGCAGCTCCAGCGAGAACATTTCTTCAGTACAAGTGCAATGCACAAAGCACACTGGTACACTTTGGCAGCTTCAGTTTGGAACTGTTCAGCCATTGTCATGGGAATATGCGGGGCAGGGGAGTAATTAAGGAAGGGCGTGCAAGAGCAAGTTCTGTGGACAAACGTTCCCGCTTTGGCTCGCATTTTCTGTCATCTATCAAGTCTGGCCTTTTCTGCTACCCCTTCTAGCTTCGTTTTTGTCAGCAAAGGGAGGCGCCGCCCGAATCATGAGGTACTCTTTGGCGGCTCCAGCTTGAAGTCGTCCAGCCCCCGTTGCGCAAATCTGTGAGGGCAAGTCCTGATGGAAGTTATGCAATGCCTGTCAGCCAACATCATCGGTTCCATTGTCGTTGTGTGCTCCTGCCCATGAAAACCACGATTCGCAAAGTCCCGGCCGAAGACTGTTCCTTTACATTCGCTGTTCTGCTGACCCGGCACTTTTTCCTCCTGGTCCCAAGCGCTAGTCACGTCTGAATGTACAGCACCGCACAGATTGCTTCCACAGCAACAGGCGGCCAATGGATTTCGCAAATGAGCATAGCTGGAAAACTCCGTGAGCTCCCTTGAAAGCCACTACGCGTTCAAGCTTTCCAGGGATGATCAAAATTTACACTCTGCCAGTGTTAAGCGCAAGAAGCCCGGAACGGAAGCACCTAGCGGTGCGGCACATCCCCAAGAGGGTGCCATCCCATTGGCACTAGCGAGGGCCAGTAAGCCAGAAGAAATAGTCACTGCACACCAAGCGTCTTTGTCTACAGCAGTGGCAGTTGCCTGCGTCTTCCTAGCATGCAAATTGGGACCGTGAAGGCTTTCCCCGCAAAGCATAGCTTCCGCCCCATTCTTATTGCAAAAAACAAGTTTGTTGCATGTCCCGGATCAGCCATCACTTCTTTAGGTAAGATATCCCTATATCTCTACATTGCCTTTTTGCTCACGTCCACGTCCTCTGCCCCCTCTTCTTTGGCATAGGGAATGTAGGTTCCCATCAGCTTGTCCTTAGTATGCTGTCATTGCAATCGATCGAACCTTCGCTTTTCTTAAAGTTTGCAGCCAGGAAGCCCAAACCATTGTGAACTGTGCAAAGTTCTTGTCGGGACGGCGGTGGTGCATTTCATGAGCAGCGGTTGAGTACAAATCCACACCTGCAACAATGTGCCCCTTAACCTTCCTCCGAGCACTTGGCTGATAGCCAACCCCAAGTCAAACAAAACTGGATGCAGTTGCCAACATCGTCTCAAACCGAAGCTGAGGCGCCTAGGAGGCTGACCTGTAAGTCAAAGCCGGTGTGATTCAATGAAGCGCCGACGGTCATCAGCGAGAGGTGTCCCCCCAGTGCCACGGCGTGCAAACCAGTGAGGGACACGAGATGTATGGCAATCATCCAAAGGGACATTGCCATCCTGAGCCGAACGTTCCACACAACAAATGCATAGCCCTGAGACCTGACAGCCTTTGCTTGTCTGTGCCGGCCGCAGGCCAATGAGCTTCCCGTGTTCCTGTGGCCACTCAGTTGCCATGCGTGCAAGTTGCAGCTGCTCGAGAGGGTGCTCGTTGCGAGCATCAATATTGCCACGAGTGGGGTAGACGGAGCGATGGTGGTGCTTGTGAATGTAAGCATACAACGCCGGATGGTGCAGCAAACCTTGCATGGCTGAATCGCCGAGTTGCCTTCACCAAGTGGCACACTCTCACACAAAATGGACAAGGCGCGGTGGGCAGGAGCGTAGAGCATATCGTTGTATAGGATCAGAAGCCTCAGCTAATCCTTTTCGCTTCTCCCCCCCCGCCTTATAGCGATGTGAGCTCTGCCAAGTGCGGCTTGGCCGCAGGAGCGCGACAGGGCCATTGAGGAAGCCAATGGAGGTCCAGCTGCGGACAATCAACGGAGAGTTCCACCTCGCCCCCAAGTCTTGGTTTAAGCTTTGGGCGTAGCCTCCATGTGCGTCTGTTTTTTGAGGGTGAGGGTCAATTAAACGCGCAACTATGCCGGAAGTTCAGTCTGCAACGTTACAGGCTACAAAACAAAGTGCGGTCCAGCCACAGCATGTAGAGAATGTGACAGGTAAAGATGCTCTCAATGACCGAGTTGATGGTCAAGACAGCGGCATCCTGCTAGCTCTGTTGCTCTGTACAGCAGGACAATGGGACAGTAATGATACCCAAACATCAGAAACTTGAAAGCAAGCTGGCAACAGCATCCACTTCCCTGCTGACAGCCCCACTCGAGCATCCACTGCCCTGCCCTCATCCATGGCACGCTCCTTTCCGCCCAGCTGATTCTTGTACAGAACTTTGGTTCCAGTGCGGCTGGGCAGGGGCTTCAGGAATCGGCAGGCACAAGTGACACCTCAAAAAATGCACCGGCCCCACAAGCTTGGGCCAGATTCCATGACGCACTGGTGAACATAACATGCTGCTAGAACATCGACATAGAATGGAATCCACGTCAAAATATGTAAGATCATGTCAATGTGAACCAGTCACTAACAAACGCACCAGTCACAAGTTCAGGCCACACACAGCTGCTGCGTAAGCCGCGGACAAAAGTCTGTGATTTGCAAGGCCATTTCCTGGTGCCGAACAGCGGTTCAACTGCAGACTGAGACGCTCAAACGGCTTCCCAGTCCCTTGACAATTTTGGCTAACATTTCGAGCGCAAATACTCAAAGTATTTGCATCATGAAATTTCAGAGGATCCTCGCCTTGTCTGCGCAGCCAGTCTTTTCACTTCTTGCAGCATGTTTTTGTTCAGATACTCTTTTTTGTGGTTTTCAAAGGGGAACCGCAAGGAAAACCACCTTTCTTTTTTGGGGGCCCTCAATATTTGACACAAACCTCAACATTTGCAGTGGTCCGATCGCTGCAAAGGGCTTCCACAACAAGTTCGGCGGCTCCTTGACGATGATGACAGCCACGTAGGCTGGGAGGTTCAGGGACCATGGATTTATGATGAAGGTCAGAGACTGCAAAGACTCCATGCCTTCCTTAGAAACCGCTGCTCATGTGAATCAAGCAGGCTTGTATCGCAGCGATTGTTGGGCCACACACACACACATGCAGCACCACGCGGGTTGCAAGCTCTCACTTGCAGAAAACCCCTAACTGCGGCTTTACATCCAAAAACTTGCAGCACCTCAGGAACCTGCGTCTGAGAAAGACATCCAACCTCTTTGGGTGAATGGAATAGGAGCCAGCCGTGCCCTGCAGCACCGGACCTTGACAAGATTGAAGCCGAGGCGCAGAATCTCACCTCACCCTGACCACCCCAACTCTCGATCTGAGAAGCTGCCTTCGGCCAACAAGCTAATCTGGCTTGCCATGTTCGTTTCTGGCCAAACCGGTCAAACTGGCTGGAAATAGACTGTGGCCTCCCAATTTCTGAGCAACCCTAGGCGGAGCCTTCGCATTTTTTGTCACAAGGCGCCCACAAGCGTCGAAGCCCTAGCAGCTTCTCACTTGGCAGCCGCAGCACCAAAACCAATGTCAGCAGCTGTGAGGCTCGCAGCTGCCAGGAGCCTGCTTGCACAGGCAGCATCGTAGGCCCCTGTATCCAAGAACTTGCCTGCAGGCAGTCTGAAACCAGTGTGTTTGGGGCTTTGTCGGGATTAGTTCTTTCTTATGTCAATTGCGTGTGCAAGCTTGCTGTCGCTTGCCAGGCAAGTCCGTGGTACTCAGGTTTGGGAACCCCAAGTCAAGCCAAAGATGTGCTACTCACCTTGCTGCTCAGCAGGGAATGAGGCAATGACCCCCATGATCATAAACATCACCTTGTGGTTTCCTTTGAGATCCCCAGGTTCATTCCCAAAACCCCCCTGTCGACCCGAGAACCAGCAATGCCCACGTCATAGACACCGCATGCGTCCAGGCGCCAAGCGCACAGGTCCACATCAAGCCGCCGCCCACACAGCAGCTCAGCTGCGCAAGGGTCTCCGACTTGTCAGCCCGCCGCAAGCAAAGGAAGCTACCCAGGAACATGCCCACTGCCGCAGCTCTGCCCATCCTTGCATGAGAAGAACCTAAGCAGACCTGCCTTTATGTAACACAAGCCGAGTTGGAGCGACAGCGCCTGAACCACATGACTTGGCCCACACAACTCATCTTCCGACTGCAAAACGCTCTTTTTTTTCTCTGAGCGCCGCTCCAGTCCATGCTGGCCCCCTGGTACTTGGGCCTGGTGGGCGATGTGGGTAAGGACCAGGAACTGCCCGTCTTCATCTCTTCGAAGGGCTCCCACAAGCTCCAGGGAGCCACTCCCAGCTCGTGATGAGCTCCTGAGCTCAGACACCGCGCACCCGGTGCCGTGGAGAGGGTCAAATGGCTCAATCATTGACCAGGAAAAACACGAGGACATGGGAAAGGCAGTAACACCAACAAGCGCCTGGTGACATGGCAGGAGCAAACACTGAAGAAACAAATGGAGGTCCACTGCAGCTGCATCTCCCTCAAAAACGTTTTGACAACATAGACAACATCGAAACATAGGACACACGCACACACATGCACACATGCACACGCGGACAAGTGCCCCCAGACCTACATCTGCAGCAAATGCGTGTACCTGTGGTCTCCGCGTGATTGAAGCCCGTTGCAGGCGCACAGTTCCTCAACATTACACTTTCCGAACCTATGGATTGGTACACTAAACTGCGGCATCTCTGTTTCTCCCGCATTCTCTCGAGATACGATGCGCTACATCATGCTTTACAACACGCCATGGTGGGATACGACATCATCAACCACACGTGCACGCAAAGGCAGACAGCCATGCAGGCAGGCAAGCAGGCAGACAAACAGGTGGGTGGGCAGGCAGACGTCGGACAAATGACAAACAAACAGAACAAACAAACGGTCAGATCGAGAACGACAAAGAGAGAGGCTCAGAAAGACAGGGACAGAGAGAGAGAGAGAGAAAGAGAGAGAGAGAGAGAGAGAGCGAGACAGAGAGAGAGAAAGAGAGAGAGGGAGACAAAGAGAGAGGGAGAGAAAGAGAGAGGGAGAGAAAGAGAGAGGGAGAGAAAGAGAGAGAGGGAGAGAAAGAGAGAGAGGGAGAGAAAGAGAGAGAGGGAGAGAGAGAGAAAACACACACACACACACACAGGACCAGCGCACTGACCCGCGCACGCGCACAAAGAAAAACAAGTTCGTTGCTTTTGGGCTGTTCTTTGATGCAAGCATCGGATAACCAGTGAGGTGCGCAGCACATTCCAGAAGCAGCCCCCACGAAGGACGCTGAAGCGCCCCATCTTCCGCCAGTGCTGCAAATTCAGCTCCAAAGCGTCAAATGTGCCTGCTGGCTGCGCCAGTCCGAAATAATCCAAGCGCTCAGTTTCACATTTGTATGTCTTGAAAAGCCGGTCCCAAATGATCAGAACCCCCGCGTAGTTGCAGTTGCCGGGGGGCCGGTGGTGCATCCTGTGGTGGAAAGGGGAGTTCAGCACGAACTCCAAGATGCCCAGGCGTCCACACAGCTCTGTGTGTACCCAGAATTGGTACAAAGTGTTCAGCTGGCTGTGTATCAAAATGGATTCCGCGGGGAAGCATAGCGCCAGGGGCAAGGAAAAGATCCAAGTCATCATATTCTGCAAGGCTCCTTGCCGTAGGGCCGTTGCCAGGTTGTAATCCTCCCCGCTGTGGTGAACGCTGTGGCTCGCCCAGCCGGCGTGGAAGACATGCAAACTGCGATGGGCCCAGTAGTACGCCAGGTCTGTGCCCAGCATGAGGCAAGTCCAGGAGAAGATGGGCCGCTTCTTCACATCCACCATGTTCTGGCTGACCAAAGAGTTCACCATTTTGTAGCAGCTCTTGGGGTTTGCCACCCGGTGGAGCCACTCTATGCAGAGCTGCTGGAAGGTGCCGGAGGCTATGCAGCTCAGAAAGTCGTTGAAGCGGTACAGCTTCCTCTGAACAAACTGCCCAGCCACGAACTCTGCACCCATGAGGACAAAAAACATGACCTTGGATGCTGGGCTCAGACCTCTAATGATTGCAACTGGGCAACCGCCACAAATGCCACCGCAGCGGCAATGCCATGCGAGGCAATCAAGTTTGGAACGCGGTCCCCGTCTACCAATGCCAGCTCCTTTGGCGGCAGCATGTAGAGGAGGCACCGGAAGCCATAGCTCAAGTAACGACCAGCCTCAGTCGACATCATTGACATGCATCCCAGAAACATCTGCATGCCCATGACCAGCAAGTTTGCTTGCCGAAGGGCTTCAAAGATTTGCGAGTCCATCTTGCAAGCGCAAGTTTTTGTGGGGTGCACAACACATGGGGCTCATTCTTTGCCACTATCTGGCTAGAATGCTACCAGAGGCTTGCCTAGGAAAAGCCGCATGCCTAAGCTGGGCAAGTGTGCGCCAGGCTGTGCTTTGTGTTCATGTTTATGTCGTATCTTGTCAAAATGATATGCCGGGTGTTCCTGCCGAGTCCTCCCTGCAGCTTGAAACATAAGTCGCAGGTTGTAGAAGCCATCGTCCCCATGTGCAATGCACAAGTGCAACTCGAAACCGCATTGAGCAGGCGGTTTTTCTTAGCGGGCGGTGTCCGGGAAAGTCGTCCCGGAAAGCTACCAGTTCTTTGCTGGCGAACGCCCATCTCTGATACTTGACAACACTCACTGATCTGGATCAGGCAGGTCTGGCAAAATGTCCTGGAAGCATTCTTGATGGAGAGCCAACTCTTGGAATCAATCTGTAAGATCCTACTTTCACACTGGGCAAACAAACTCCATGGAACTCCATGAATGCTGCAGGCCTAATGCTGACACAATCCAGCGCCCCGGTCTCTTGTCTATTGCGAAGCACCTCATAAAGCAGATTCTACACTGAAGCGCGTTGGATTCATGCTTAGACGGGGCATTCATTTGAAGCAACCATGCCAAACCATCAGCCCACTCAGCCTACCTCTGGGGTAGAGTGCTCATTCTTTCTGTGTTGGCCCGCTATCCCAGGGTAGGGTTTACAGCAGGGCCAATCCTGTTATGGCAAATGCACAAGCTGTTGGCATACTGCCCCAAAACTTGGCTTACCATAGTTTACCTCGTGTCATGGAAGTTTGTCCTTGTAGCAATACCGTCCGAACACCTTTAGCAGCCGTACCATGCAAAACCGGTGTAATACCACTGGCACTAAACCCATTGCGACTGCCGCCCGCACCTCCTCCTTCAAGAGATCCTCGGGCCACACAACATGACTTGTGCACAAGCCTTGAGACTAAGTACCATTCGATGCTTTTCGCATGCCACATATCTGAACTGGGCGTCATCCACACCTTTTGGGCTCTCATCCGTGGACTCCGTGCTTGCATTCGTGGCAGCCATTGCGCTTGTGGTTGTTGCAATAGCTGCTTCCGTCGTCACGGTAGTCGTGGTTGTGGTAGTTGTGGTGGTCGGGCAGTTTCGCAGATTGCATTCCTGCACTTCAGGTCTTTGCCTCTAGAAGCCCCCTGTGCAAAACCTGTGTATAGTGTGCACGTGTGGTTTCGTCAGTCGCCTGCACGTCAGTGCTCAAGGAATTCTCGCAGTCCTGCACACAGGTCACATTTCGCCAGCATTACCTTGCTTGCAACTAAAGGATCGCAAAGGCTCCTTCCCACCATTCGCAGATTTGACCGCCACCCAGCGACGTCGTGACCTGCTTCGAAATCACGGAAGCAATGGCAAAAAGTCCGAGTCCATTGCTCGTGTGCAACTGCTACTGTTTGAGGCTGACGGCACCTGCCCTCCAAGCGAACGCCATGCCAGCCTCTGGCCACCGCCGCACGTGGCTGAACACGCGTTCCAGGCGCCCCAGGCCGTCCACTGGCAGTCGACCTGCAAACCACCCAACCCCAAAGCAACGCAAAAGCCGCTGACTGCTCGAATGACAGCTGTGCGGCTTCGTTCGCCTTGTCCCAAGTGTTTGTTGCAAACTGCGAATTTGCGAAAGAAAGATTGGCGGCTCGGCCTGGCACACGCTCACACCCTTCTCGATCTTGATTTCTTCCTGTGTTGCTCCGCAAAGGCCTGAGACCAAGGCCTATCACATACCACACCGCGTGAGGCGCTCCAAGCGCATGTCACGAGCTAAGCTTTTGAGGCGCCAACCAACCTCGCCCCAGTTGAGAATTGCGTCGCGGGAATTGCACGAGACTTGGTGCGCGTTGATCCCCGTACCTGTCACTGCCATGAAGATGTACAGGTTGCGTGTTAAGCTGACCCAGCCCAACCCTGCTTCATCCTTGCGAGGCCTTCCACCACTTCCATGCCCCCTCCCACCTCACCTGAACACCCGCCCGTTCACCCTAAGCTGGAGTTGATCGGAAGCGAAGACTGCTGAATCGTGCTGGCCTCGAAATGGGTTGATGTTCACATCCTTGTCGTCGAAGAAGTACGTATTTTCCCGCCTTGGCAGTTGGCAGACAAGGATTGAACCGGCTTAGCACTTGGCAGCACGACTCCTCGGAGTTTGGGTCTTTGCTAAGCTGCTGCATGCTGCAGCCAAGACTCTGAATGCAAACTTCCTGTGAGGCATACCTCATGCCAGCTCGTGGGGGACATGTGCGCTTCTCCATAGCGTCTTAGACTGGCACCATTCGATGATTTGAGCTACTGCCTCTTGCTTTTTCGCGTCTGGCTGGAAAACCACGTAGGGCGACCTTGAGTGGTGCGCGTGCCACTTCCCGAAAACTTGATGTGTCCATGCGTTCCAGACCGAACCCCGCCACTGATGAAAAGTGGCTAGTCCAGGTTAAACTATGCTTAAGCAGGGCACCTTTGAGAGTTTCAGCCTAAGCCTACGGGCCAGGCCTGCTTCATCCTTGCTGAGGCCCAAGCAAAAGCTTCATGTCCTGAGGTTCAAGGAACCGGGAGGCCATCTCCACCAAAACTTGCCGCATGGCGAAAGGGACACCCATGATTGTTTCTCCCTAGGCATGGGGCATGAACAAAGCTTGCACATCCCAGGTGTTCGACTGGGCATGGGTCCTGGGATCCCTGAGTGGAAATGGATGCAAACCATCCGTGATTAAAACGCCTAAACGCGCACTGAGACAGTATCCGGACCGCCCAATCAAATGCTGCTTGGGCGCTGGTACGGCAAACGGCCGTCATCGTGACAGGGGCTTAGAGCAACTTCATTTTGATCAACCTCCATTTGACCCCCTGGTGCTGCCACAGGCACACTCCACGCAGCATTCTGGGGCTTCAGAACCAACTTCTGCATGGCTTCCGTGTTGAGGATCTGCAGATTGCTAACATTGCCCGCCCCAAGCAAATCTTAGCAGTCGCAACGCGACCCCAAACGCAGGCCCCCAACTGCTCGAAGCCTTCAGCAGCTCTGTTCGTTCCTTCGAGAACTCCCCAGTCCCATCGCCATGTGAGCAAATCCCCACGTAGCATTTGCTGCAGAAGGTGCCGTCGAGCCCTGGGCAAGAAAATCACGGACTGGCCTTCTCCAACCCTTGTGGTTTCGCCTCTAGGCTTGATAGATCGGGATTTGACAAGCATGAATGCCAAAAAGTCCGAGAACTCGCCGAACAAAAGCGGGCTCTTCAACAAAGAAGCTTCGGCGTATCGTGACGGTTCTTCCCAATGAGCTCACGTTCACTAACAAGACTGGCCACAGCACATTGTGCGAAAAAGGAAAGCCTATGAGCATCCAAATGAGCGTCACCCCTTCAATCAACATCGGGTTCACTTGCATAAAGGGCTTCGAAAGGCTTTGCACTGCCCGCTGGCCCCGGTGAGGCTGCAACAAGTTGAGCAATGATCAAAACGCAGGCCTATTCATCTACATGGCAAAGTTTGAGAGGTGATGTGAGAATCGCACGGCTGACTTCCACAGGGCTCAGCAAGGTAAGCCAATGTCAGTCTGAGACAGTCTCCCCCCAACTCACCTTGGGGGCAAATTGAGCTCACCCATGGTGAAGGCGTATACATTACATATGGGAAGTGATGAGAAGTAAACCGTAGCTGGTATTCAAGCTGCCATGGCTGAGGCTGCGGCGGGCAAACATTCATCAGCCCCTACCAAACCATCAATCATGCTTCATCATGTGTATACATGCGTATGTATATATACATATATATATATATGTAACCTATTGAATACATTACAAGCACAATGTATAATCATACTTATTTTTCCTTCTCAGTACTATTACCCATTATTATCATTATAGTGACTATGTGAATCATTTGCCTGGACGGGGCGCCCTTAGCGGCCAGCTGCGACAGCACGAGCTCGCCGCCCCCGTAGGCAGAGTCCGCTATGCCGGGGAAGGCCTTGGAGCCACCGCAGGTGTCCTGCACCAGGCCGAACCGCCCACGAGCCATAGGCCGAAGCGAAGCCGAAGCACCAGAAAGCTCAGGGGTGAGCGAACCCGAAGCGCCTGCGTGCCCTGCTTTGACGTCAGTGTCCGGTCAATGTCAAAGATGCACAGGCAGGCCTTGGCATCCTCGTGCCCGACCTGCCCGCGGACCGCTGAACGCTGCGCTTGATCATCAGATTCAACCGCGCTACATTGATCTACATTGTGCATGCGACTCCGGACTTGGGAAAATCAGCTTCGATGAAGCCACTTCAACTATTGAGGCCGAGAATCGCATTGTTGCGGTGTAACTGGCGGGCTGTGGCTGGGCGGTGGATCTTCGCATTGCGTGCTGCAGGGCTTCGGGCATTTTGCAGGGTTGGATTGATACACACGGCACTGGAAGTCCAGAAGGCCTTGGTGCGAGCACACCGTTGCGTTGCCTGCCCTGCTAAGCAGCCACAAACAAACAAATAGGATCTTGGGGCCGCAGTCCTTGTCCAAATGCGGCTCCCCCGTTTGCACCGCCAAAATCACAGTTTGCCCCATAAGGAGCCCACTGAAATCCTTCAAGGAATGCTTGTTTTTGTCCAATTCAATCATGAGAAGTGCAATTGCAGCTAAGCTTTGTCTTCAAATATCGGAATTTATTTCTGGGCTCCCCAAGAAAGGCTGCAGTTGGGGTTGGCGGGGAAGCCTATGACTTTGGTTTAGCGTTGTTTAGTATTGGCCTAATTCTGGTTTAGATTTGGGGATTGGGGGATTGGGGTTTCGTATGAATATGTCACATCGGCCATGCCCCGCAAGCAAAGGTGGTCACAACATCTGAGTGCGAGCTTGGGCGCTGGAATCAACTGTGAGATGAGGATACCACTCCGGATGTTCATGAATCCCAGAGCTTTGGGCCCATTGGGCTTCTTCATGGCAGCTGCTGCCTTGGCTTACATCCTGGCACTTTGGTCGCTTTTCGCTCTGGCTGTGAGCCAGCGCTCGTCGCTGCAGCGCGTTCTGCGCACAGGTTTCGCTGTGCTGGTCGCACTCGTCGTTCGCTAGCAGGAGTTCTTGCAGAAAGGCATCGCAAACTAAAGTTGATGCCAGCAAAAGGCCACAGCGTCTGGCCATGGCTACAAGCGCTTTGAGACAGAAACTAAAGTAGAAAGCTAGAGCATGACCTGCGAAGCGTGACGCAGGCTAAAGCTTGAGGCTCCCCCGAACAGCCAGTTCAAACATCCTCAGCAAACCTTGGCACCTGGGCTCCTTAAGTGCTGCCTCCCCGCCATTTTTGCTCCGCACGCCGCAGCGCAGCCTGCTTGACCATTCTGTGGCCGTCAACCCTTGCCCGTCATGGCGTCCAAAGCTATCCGGGAGGTCTGCGTTGCCAAGCTCAGCGACCAGCTGAAGCCACTCCTTGTCTCCGGCCGGCGGCCTGCTGGCGCGTGGTCCCGCCGCTCCGACGACTTGCCTAGTCCGGGAGAACCTGGTCATTCTCAAGGATGTCTGTCGGCCAAATGTGCATCTCTGATGCATTTCTTAAGTGGCGACTCAGCCCGATCTCCACACAAAGCCGCCGCCCACGCCTTGGACATTTGGACTGCCAAGTCTTCTAGGTGCGTGGCTGATGGGCATGCGTGGTGAATGAAGAAAATGAAACGCATCCCAGTCTCTGATCCTCGATCTGCTGGCAGTGGTCCTCCACCACAGAGTCCTCAACGGCATCATTCTCCACCTCAGCCGCGTTGCTTTTTTGGAAAAAAGTGTGTGGGGCCTGTACACTGGAAGCACAAGCCTATGCGGAGGCTACGCGGTTTTTTACCCAGGAATTTGGCTCCGGGGGCTACGGGGAACAGTGGCTACGCGGGGGGCTACGCGCGGGCGACGCGGAAGTGGTAGTAAGAGTACTAGAACTAATACTACCACTGGCACTACTTGTAACAATAACACTACTAGATACTACTAGTAGCAATAGCAGCAGTAGTAGTAGAAGTAGCAGTAGCAGTAGCAGTAGCAGTAGCAGTAGAAGTAGTAGTAGTAGTAGTAGTAGTAGTAGTAGTAGTAGTAGTAGTAGTAGTAGTACTTGAAGTAGTTAAAGTAGTAGTAGTAGTGGTGGTGGTGGTGGTGGTGGTGGTAGTAGAAGTAGTAGTAACAGTGCAGGCAGGCATGTGGGCAAGTGGACTTGAACAGACCTTGGACGCTACGCGGAACGAGCGAACTTCAATTCTGGCCAGGCCAGAAAAGAACACATCCAATAAACATGCTTTCGTTGCAGCATGCAAGGTTTCAACAGAAGCCTTTAATACAAAGCAAAGTGACAATAAGCTGCTTTTACTAGTGGCTACGTGGAGGCTACGCGAGCCTGCTCAGTTCAAGGACTAGGCTACGCGGCCACCATTGTATTTCCCCCCTTCTTTTGGCTCCTTCATTTGCTCCAAGCGGCCCCGAAGAACAATGCCCCCCCCCCATCAAATATCGAGGCCAAAGGCACAATGAAGGCCACATTTGCCATGCATCCTGCAATGCACGCCAGCCAGTTGCCATAGCTCCGCACTAGCGGCAAGACTGGCCGCTTCAGCTGGAAAGGAAACCTGAGATGCGCGACATAAACAAACCTGGGACATGGCATTGGACAGCTTACGGCTTCTTGCCAAGTGTCACTCAAGATCTAACAGCGAAACATGTGATGAGCGCTGGTGCACAACTTTAGCTCCAAGCTGCGAGCTGTTGATTGGCGCCATGGCGCCTGAAAGAGGTGATTTCGCATCCCATGCGCGACTTGTTACAGCATCAGCGTGCTGCTTCATGGCAGATGTTTTACAACAGTTGGCTCCCTAACCAGATGACTCACGCCCCACCACTTGCAAGATGTACCTTTCTTCACAGCTTCGCAACCCACTCCTGGGGGCTCGTACATGCTGCACCACTCCCGCAGCGTTTTCAGCCGTTGACGGCTGGTCTTGCCGGTGTGCTGGGCGAACGTCCCGTGGCGCCAGGTGTCGAAGTCCATGTAGAGGTTGAAGGCCCGGCCCAGGATGCAGCCGCGCAGCTGCTTGCGGCCCCACACCACCTGACTCACCCGGAGCCTATGCCAAAACGAAGAACCACCAAAGGACCACATGGGGTCTCAAAATAGGGGATGGGACCCTCAAAATCCTGGCTCTGCAGTTGTTTCCCTTCAACCCCACCGCCTCTCAAAAAATGACACGCCCACGTTCGATGACTTTCGCGCCTGCGAGCTCCAGGCGCTTTGGGTGCAGGGCTCCTCCACTGACACATCCTCCAGACCCTTGAAGCGCTCCTTCCTCGAGCGACGGAAAACGAGGGATTTGTTTGGCGCGCCCATGTCCATCGCTAGGTCAGAGCCAAGGAGCTGACCCTCAGCCCCCAAACCAGGCTCGAAGCGAAAGCAGGTGGCTGGAAAGGCAGCAAAGGCGCAGGTGTGCTCGAACCTGGGATGCATTGAGGCACCAGCTGCGATGTAACCTGCAAGCCGAGACTCCTCCAGTCGTCATCTTGGGTTCCATCTGGCGGTGCCTCGCGCTTCGGATGGCAACTTAGACTTGGCTCCTCCCAAATTCCCCCCTGAACAGAGAAGGCATGCTTTCCTCTACAAGCACCAGAGGCTCTGGGCTGTCCCAGGTTCCAGAAATCACGTCAAACAACTTACAGAAAGGCACTGCGTAACTACGCCAACAGCCCTGCCATGCCTGCGGAGCCAGCCATGCCTCCTGAATCCTCACCGGAGCTGAGAAGGTGTCGTCATATTTGGGCGTCCACTCGTCGCCCCGGGACTTCCAAAACTCCATGAAGACCCCGCCAGCACAGACATAGCCTGATCGCCATGCCTTGACATGCCTTGACATGCCTGTGCCTGAGCGATTGGGCGCCAAATATTCAAGTCCAAGACTCCAAGCTGCTTCGCGGGGGCCGTGGCGCAAATGTCCAGCGCCGATTTCAGCATTTGAGACGACATACGCAGGTCTGAGGTGCCATCTCGGAGTTGGGGACACGGCTGCAAATCCTCAAACTCCTTCCGCTGTCCTCACAGCCAACAAGAGCCATAGCATGCCGTCTTGCTTCCCATGTTCATGGGGAACGGCGCATGCCTGCGCACCACCAGCACACGCCACACAACCTAAACAACACTGCCTAGTGGCGGAGCCTGACCAGACTTGCTTCGAAACAAACATCGACCCCTGATGACCTGCAAGCCGGCCCTGCCAATTGGCAAGCGGCTCTCGTCCATTGACAGCAGCACAGCCGACGCCATTGCCCCATGCCCCAGGCCATGGATGCAGTGCACGAACAGCTCGGGCAGCTCCTTCCGACCCTTTTCTGATACCCAATCTGCATGTTGCCACTTGCTGTCAGCTAGATTGGCATGCTGTGTGCCAATCTTGGCCAGGACCGAAACATGCATGCGAGCAAACATGACCACCTGCCTTGCCGGCCCCTTTTGACCACTTCTCGCCTGGAAGCGGAAGCAAATGTTGTCCTGGACAAAGCTCCAAAGCCCCGTGGCGTTTCCACGCGATCCTGAGATTCGGACTCTCCATATCCTAGCTGTGCAATGAGATTTTCAAATGGTCTGATATGCTGAAAATAAGGTTCAACACAATGAACCAGTGGATGAGCTACAATTGATATAAAGTACAGGCACATACAGCCACACAGGGAATTGCACTGAGCGGTAGCAGTCCAAGCATCGGACGAAGTCAAGCATACTCGTCCAGGTCATGGCATGCAAAGGTGCCCCGCCCAGTTTCAAAGATCCAGCCACTTCCACCTGAGAGACATCTTCTCCAAACGCCGTAGCTCGGGAATGGCAACCGGCAACACGGCAAGCCGCAAGAAGACAGCGGGAGCAATTCTGTTTAGGGGTCAAAGCCACAAAACAGATGTCCAGCCAAGGAACCGCATCTTCCAAGTACATGTCTCGGTGCCTGGCAGAGGATACAGGTTTCAACTTGTCTGGGAAGAAACAATCATCAGCCTTTCGCTACAATTTGTCAAAGTCTGCTACCCTCTTGGAGCGTTAGATTGATGGTTAGAGGTTTTTGCCATTGACCCACCAGAACCAGGCCCCCCACCCCCCCCCCCCGCACCCAAACCACCAAAGGGGTCGGAACCAAAACTCACGATTCGCATCGGAGCGGCGGCACAGGATGCTGCTGTAGGCGGGCAACGACATAGGAGCCCAGGTCGTGCTTCCAGTCTTCCTCTGCCAGGTCTGGACCCGGAAGCCAAAATTCCCCTTCTAGCCATGGGATTGCATGACTAATCATGTGCTAAGAAGGGAAACAGTTCAAGGGACCCAGATTTAAAAGGTTGAGCTGTTGGTGCCATGCCTCAAAATGGGCCAAACAAGGGAAACCTTCGCTTCGGGCAGAGCTTCAGCTGCATTCAGCACACCCTGCGGCAAATCCTCCAGGCTCACGTCCCAGACGCCGCTGGCCCCACTTTCGTCTGCCTGCTCTAAGGCTTCCACGAGGTCAATGAGCCCGTTGAAGCCCAGTCTGGGCATCCAATCCTCCACAAAGTCGCAGAAGTCCTGGTCTGCCCGAGGTCCCAACTCCTGCAGCCGGGCCACGGCCCCCGCCATGGCGCTGGTCTCGTTGGGCCTCCACAGCGCGTTGGCCTCCGAGATGGCCAGCGCCGCCTTGGGCCCCGAAGACCCGCCGAAGGCCTCGCCCCAGTTGCACAGCGCGTGCCGCAGGTACCCAGGGCACATCTCGGCGGGGCGCCGATACAGCCGCGACAGCGCCGCCACGGTGACGAGCACGGAGGACAGGATGCAGCCACAACACACCAGGAACACCAGCAACAACAGAAGAGCTATGCGAGATGCGCGGCTGCTGCAGAATCTTCTGCCTGTTTTGCTCTCCAGCGTCCTTGTGGTGTCAGCGGAAGCTTGCAAAACACAACATGTTCAGCGCCTAGGTAGCTGAGCCTGGAAAGCTCCACAAGAGAGAACAAGCTCAAGCTCAATGATTCAATGATTCACCAAGGGCTCTTCGTCGATCATTTTCATGTTGCCTTTGGAGCTTTGATGACCTAGTTGGTTTTACGTCATGCGCAAGTTGCCTCCCACAAATATGGCCACTGTTCCGACTCGGCCCGAGAAAAGCAAGGACGAAGCAACCCGGAAGACCAGAAAGCAGACTGAGTCTTGGCGACTTGCCAAGGCTCTCCAGCACTGGGAAGCCCCAAAGCTGGGGAAGCATGGGCACATCCTGGCGGCCGAGACCGACAGGAGTAGAGAGTAGAAAAACCACCGGAGGGGCCATCGAAGCGTTTTTTCCACACCCGGTACTGCATTAGTCCATGAGATGGCACTTCTTCAGCGAGCATTTCTCGCTGCAACCCCTCGCCTGGCTCTCATCGTCGGCAGCATCTGGGGCGCCAATCACGTTGGCCTCTTGTGAAGACCTTGGGCTACGCCAGCATTGCTGTCTGAGGCGTGGGCCAGCCACAAACAAAAAGAGAGCGAGAGGGACATGGAGGGAGGGAGGGAGGGAGGGAGGGAGGGAGGAGGGAGGGAGGGAGGAAGGGAGGGAGGGAGGAGGGAGGGAGGGAGGGAGGGGAGGGGGAGGGGAGGGGGGAGGGGAGGGGAGGGGGAGGGGAGGGGGAGGGGAGGGGAGGGGAGGGAGGGAGGGGAGGGGAGAGGGGGAGGGGGAGGGGAGGGGGAGGGGGAGGGGAGGGGAGGGGAGGGGGAGGGAGGGGAGGGAGGGAGGGGAGGGGAGGGGGAGGGAGGGAGGGAGGGAGGGAGGGGAGGGAGGGAGGGAGGGAGGGGAGGGGAGGGGAGGGGAGGGGAGGGAGGCAGGGAGAGAGGGTGAGAGAGAGAGAGAGAAAAACAAATGCACAAGTCATTGCAGCAAAAAACGCTAGATTGTTCTGTGTTTGTTAGAGTCCTCCTCAGTGCTGCCCTAAACTAAGGGATGAGCATTGCCACCGCTGCATCGGCCTCTTGCGGCCGGAGAGGGGCATAGGGACAGGTTTGTTGGCACTATGTGCAGCTACCATTTGTCATCCGTCGATTCCGAACGTGTACACAATCTTCTCATGTCGTGGCAACATAGCTGAAACATGAAACCTCTGCAACGCCCTGCAGCCAGGCTGCTACATGAACATGAGCTTGAGCATTCACCAGCAGGACCGTGCGAGCAGCAACACAAACTGACACAGCAAATTGACTGAATGATCAAAAGACACACCAGAAGCCTTCAACAACTGCGTTGCAGCACTGCAGGCCTTTGTCAAGTCTATGAGGCCATGATGTTCAAGGCGGGCCGTGCACAAACTCTATAAACTGCTGCCGCCATCGGTCCCTACGTGCTTGCGCGGCACGTGGCACGTGATGGCGCAAGCAAGTCTTGGCATGGCGAGCGGCACAATAAGTTTCACCGTGCCTTTTCGGTTGCCATGTCCCCCACTTCCTTTGCGAACTTCTCATTGAGGCCCAGGATGGAAGGGAACCAGTGCGCAAACTCGCTGAAGGTCAAGCAATTGCTGCCATCGCTGAACTTGGCGATGGATTCTCGCAGTTCTGCTGGTGATGCAGAGAGCGGAACGTCAAAGCTCTCACTCAAATCTTTGGACAGGGCCATGAGCTCCGCATCATCGAGAAATGAATCGCCGTTGTGGTCGTACTGCTTGAAGTACTGCTGGCACAACTGGAAAACCACCCTCCAGGGTGTCAGCACCGAGCTCATGATACATGCCCCCACTCAGGGAAGCCGGATTCAAGAACAACTCTGGAAACAGATTAACAAACAACAAACCACAACTCATCCAGGTCGCCTCTGGGACTTGGGGCGCTTCGGGACCTGCCTCGGGGAGCTCTTTAGCGCCGCGAGGTAGCCCGCGCTCCGCTGGCTCTGCTCGCTGCGGACCTCCTGTTCGGGCTCCCGGCCGCCGGCTAGCAGCGGAGGAATCCAGCGGCAAAAGGCGTCGAGGGATAGGGCAGCCTCACCAGCTGCAGTTTCCGTATCCAAACCTTGGCTCATTGCGGCTCATTGCACATGGGCAATATGGACGGTATGAGTGAGTGAGATAGTAGAAGCACACAATCACGAGTTCAAGCCGGTGGCGGGCTCTCAACTTCTCTTCATCGACCACGATGCCAAGTCCAGCCGCCAAATCTTGGGTCATGCTGAGCACCTCCGAATACTCAAGCACGCCATTGGAATTAGCGTCGTACTGCTTGAAAAACCTCAGCAGCCCACTCAAACACAAAATGACAAGAACAGGTCATGCCGCATCGCACTGTTACTTGATGTGCGTCATCGTGTTGCTTCCTCCTTAATTGTTGGCAAGGGTTGAGACTGCATAGATATATGTATATGTATATATATTATATATATATATATATGCATGGCTTTTCCAAGTTCTCTGAATGCGATTTGCTCATCAGCAAGCCAACTAAAAAAAGCAAAGGCCCACCTTTTCAGACTGCCACAAAGCATCCGAAGCAAAACTGCCACTAACCCAGTCGCCATTGGGGGTTGTCATGCATTCCCTGGTGGGATGCCAGGAGCTCTTCCGCTTCCCCTTTCGCACCCTATGCACTATCTTGCGCCCGCCCTTGCGCCCTTACGCGCGCACTGTGCTTTTGACTTTCTACACGGCATTCACAAAATGTGACGTTCCCTGTTCACTTGGTAGAAGTGGCGGGGCAATGCCACCAGCAACTACCCCATTGTCCAACTGAGGCACTGCTTGCTGAAGGACTGCAGCGTCTGGGGAGAAGAAGCCAGCGCCGCTGCATAGCCTAGCAATGCAAACGCCGAGCCTAGTGCCCGGCAAGAACAACGCCACGCGGTGCCGAAAAAGCTAGCAGCCTCAGGCTAAGGCTCCCTATGTTAAATGGCAACCGCCCGATAGAAGCCACGTTCGGCGAGCTGCCTGGAGTGATGGTTCTGCGCAGGCTGGGCTGCGGGACGGCAGCCGGTGCCAGATTGTGGGTCCCGCTCTTAATCCTTAGCTGCAGCTGCTTCATCTGCATGTCTGAATATGGCATAACACAAGGCCAAGTTGGTGATAGAATTCAAATCCCTTTGGACCTGGTTCGTTGTGTCTTCATTCCCAGGTGAGACCCCTTCAACCTCAGCCCCTCCTTCACCCTGGCAACAAAGGGGAGCCCTGGGTTGACCACCCGGCTCACAGGTTCACAGGCTCCGCCGGGCACATCCCCCTCCAGTTTCTCCGGGCGTCTCCTCGATGTGCTGCGGGGACAGCGGCTCCAGACCCAAGACGGAGGGGAACCACCGGCAGAACTCCTCCAGCGTCAAGGCATCGCGGCCCTCCTGGCGCATCGCGCTGCGAGCCCACGGAAAATGAAGCATCCCAAGTTAATCCCAAGTATTCCAAGCACAGGATCCATGCACAAGCGCTCCCAACACGTACACATAACAAATCATGTGGAGACTCCCGTTCGCGCTTGACGATGATGTCAGTTGACAACGCCAATTCACCTGTCGATGACTGCATTCGCCCACACCCGTGTAAGCTTGCTCCAGGCTCCCAAACTCCGGCTGGTGTCAACTTGCAGAACGTCTCCTCGCTGAATCGCGCTATCGATGGCCGCAAGACCTCCTCTGTGCTCCCCATGGGCACTGCCAACGCGGTTCCAAGCTCCTGCAGAATTGAAGGCCGGTTACATGGTGCCCGCGTGTGCCCCTGGGTCATTCAAACTGAAGACGTGATTTCCATATTGGGCTTGTTCAAAATGACCCGCAAGGACCTACAAGCTCTGGAGCTATGAAACCCCATCCATTTACCCCATCCATGCAATCTCTAACAGATGAAGATAGAAACATACGTGATGAACAATAAATACATCATATGACCAAATAATGAATCGAAACGAAAAGAACATATTGACAACCAATTTATAAACATGTACCTAATCATGGAGAGATAACAAAAACATCAAATAACACACGAACAAATGAAACAAACACAACAACATGAAAGAAATATAAACAAATATAATTAATAACAATTGGGGAAAAACAACTAATTTGACCCGCCCTTCACAAGTGTCTCCTTTGCAAGCACCACTGCCTCTTGGCAGTCCAGCAGCCCATTCTTGTCTTTGTCGTACTGCCTGGGGACGGGCTGAAGGCTTAGGCAACACCCGTAATTCGGAGCTCCATCCGTCGGGTGGCAGTAGCTCCATCTACCATGCGTGTGTGTGTGTGCGCGCCTGACTTTATGCGGCTAAAACCACAACAAGAAGCGTTGCGCGAAGCTAGCATTTTTTGTTGCAATGCAGTATACAGTATCTGACTAGATCATGTACAAGTTGAGCTTGCACGGGATCTGTATCCTGCCCGACCTTGATTTGGCAAGCTGTTTCATCCTGCCTGAAGTACTGACTGCACAAATGGCACAGCACTTCCGGCGACGACATCACTGCTGCCATGTATCCTGCGATGCGCAGGTCGGATCACAGGATGCTGACAGGGCTTGCAATAGCGCTCCACTGTACTTGGTCAAACACCCGAACCCTGCTGAAAGCTGCTCCATGCGGTTACTGAGGAGCTGGCTGTTCACACCCTAGACACCGACAATGCCTGGCTCGCCCTGACCCGACGGGGCCTGGAGTGATAGCTCTGGACAAGCTTGGCTTGGGCAAATACCCCTTGCCCTCTGTCATGGCTGCCTGCAGCGGACTGACTCTTGAGTCCAGTAGCAGTGCTTCATTCTGCAATCTAGACGCAGGAAACAGGAGTGATGAGCATCACTCTTTTGACCACACCGATCAAGCTGTCCAAACGTGACTACGGGCCTCCCTTTAACTTCTGGCGCTGACAGGATCACGTGCAAACCAATTGGGACACTGTTCCCAAAAATGCAACACTCTTCCCAAAAATGGGCGACACAACCCCAAATATTCCCCAAAATCCAATCTTTCAGAATGTTTCCCATGGCTTCGCGCTGTCACTGCCTGTGTGTGCTCAGACTCCAGGTCCATGGCGTGTACATGTCGGAAGCTGTAAGCAATGGATGCTCAAATGGGTGTGACCTGTGTTAAAAAAGCAAACCTCTGCAACATCAAATTGGAAAGTTTAAGAGAAAAAAGAGTTAAAGTTGAGCTGCCCTGTATTGAAAGGATGTACGACTTGTAGCTGTTCCTGAAATGACTTCATCCTTCAAGCGTACGTATGCGCAAATCGCAAAGCAGATCTTTGGACAGCGGATCAAACATGTAGAGGTACTATCATTGCACACTTGGCTGTAGGAACTATGCAAGGTGCAATGTGACATAATCTGACCCTCCATGGCCGTTAATGATCCATGCAGCATTTCCTGCACGGCAAGCGGCTGTTGGCGTGACCAGAATGACGCTCGGCCGTTTTCCGAGGTACCCGAAAGCAGAGGCTGCGTGCGCGAAAGGGGGATGCATGCACTCATGCGGTGGGGAACATGAACTGGGCCTCCTTGTTGGTGAGCCTCTTGTACACTGCCGCGAAGGCAGTCAGCTTGCTCTCAATGTTCTCCTTGTCCTTGTCCTTGGGGTCCAGCATCACCTTCAAGAGCTTGCTTCCGTCCACGGAGATGCGCGTACGCTTGCCCACGATCTCAGTGGGACCCACCAAGTCTTCCAAAATGGAGTCGTGCACAGCTGTGAGAGTGCGGCTGCGCGGTCGGACCTTCAAGCCCTTGCGCCGGAAGTTCTTGTCCAGAATGGTCCTGTTGGCCACCAGCACCACGTGCTTGCGGTTGAACTTCTTCTCCAGCTCCCTAACCAGGCGGCCTTGGATCTTCTTGACAGTCTTCCACACTCGGAATGGGAAGTGTATCACCATGGCCATGCCGGACTTGCCCACCTCCACATCCTTGGCGCCGGAGATGTAGACATCCTTCAGCTCGGTTTTGATGTCGCAGGATGGGGACACTTCAATGTCAAACAGGGCCTTGGCCACTTCCGTGTCCAGCTCGGTCACTGCTGCGCCCTTCTCCTTCACGATCTTCTTGCGAGTGTTCAGCATGGCTTCACTAACTCCTTCAGTGGCAAGCGCAGAGCCTCGTGCTGCAAAATGCATGACAGGGGTGACAGTCCTATTTCTAAAGCCGTCCAAAAAGATGTGTTGCAAGTCAGAGCTTAAAAAGGAAAGAGCAAATGGGCGAAGCAAGCAACACGAATTCGTCGGCACCTCAAAATGCCAAACTCGTGCAGGTTTGTCTGATTCCTCGCCACATCCCCTCCCGCGGTACTCCGCTGGGAGGAGTGGCGGTCACAAGCCACCTTCATGCAGATCCTTGCGGTCTGCCAGCCCGTGAGGCCATTGCACAGCAAAGGCATGTAAGGAGACAGGCACACGCCACGGCGAACTCCCCAGAAGGTAGGTCAAGACAAACAAAGCGCGTTTTCATTGAAAGATTCCAACTCCCCAAATGTCTCCGCAGGTCTCCAATTCATGCTCGCAGCCCTTAGCCAGTTGAGCCATGCTAAAAACAAAAAAGCGATCGATTCCTGTGCGATGACAAGTTGCTTACGCCAAGGCTCGCGCGCGGCTTACGCGCGCACACAATGAGCTTACGTGTAAAAGCGCTTAATGGCAAAGCTTTTGCAGGCTTAAGCAAGCCGTGCTGTGCAAGACTGGTGCATGCTACCACAGCGATTGCTGCCTACGCGAGGCCTTTCTGGCACGAACGAAGCGCGCAAAGTGCGATTCAATACGGCAGTGGCACACAAAGCGCAGTTTGGAAGCTCGCGCTCGCAATTCGCTACTTTTTAGCACAAGCTTGGCACGCCTGAGTACGCGAAGTGCACTTTGGATACGTCCAACATGCCAGCAAAGTGATACACCCAATTGGGTTTCGAGCACACTAAACTGTTCAGTACAGGTCGCTTACGTGCAGCTTGCGCAAGGATACTCGTAGCAACATGTTTGCTCGCGCTCACGTGCGTGCATGTTTAGCTTACGCTGGCCTGTTTTTGCAAGGCCTTTCCTAAACATGAACATAGTTTTTAGTGCAGCAAATCACATTGAACCAGTCATGCACAGCACTCCACATCATGCGGCGATGCGAGTCCTGCTATGGATTGGTGTCTACGTGTATGTGCACCAAATATGTGCGCACAATAAACAAAAGTAAGCTCCTTTTATTGCTCTCACCTTGCGCCTCTGTCTTCGTCTAAAAACGCCTTTGCCAGGCTCACACGTGCTCTTACGCGGTGGGGAACATGAACTGGGCCTCCTTGTTGGTGAGCCTCTTGTACACTGCCGCGAAGGCAGTCAGCTTGCTCTCAATGTTCTCCTTGTCCTTGTCCTTGGGGTCCAGCATCACCTTCAAGAGCTTGCTTCCGTCCACGGAGATGCGCGTACGCTTGCCCACGATCTCAGTGGGACCCACCAAGTCTTCCAAAATGGAGTCGTGCACAGCTGTGAGAGTGCGGCTGCGCGGTCGGACCTTCAAGCCCTTGCGCCGGAAGTTCTTGTCCAGAATGGTCCTGTTGGCCACCAGCACCACGTGCTTGCGGTTGAACTTCTTCTCCAGCTCCCTAACCAGGCGGCCTTGGATCTTCTTGACAGTCTTCCACACTCGGAATGGGAAGTGTATCACCATGGCCATGCCGGACTTGCCCACCTCCACATCCTTGGCGCCGGAGATGTAGACATCCTTCAGCTCGGTTTTGATGTCGCAGGATGGGGACACTTCAATGTCAAACAGGGCCTTGGCCACTTCCGTGTCCAGCTCGGTCACTGCTGCGCCCTTCTCCTTCACGATCTTCTTGCGAGTGTTCAGCATGGCTGTTGCTGGCAAAACCTTTCACCTACACGCCGGGTTCGAGCCTTCCGCTTCCAGCATGCAGCAAGCATTTGCTACAGCAGTGGTTGAACATTGCCGCAACAGGTGAAGTTGCTGCAACACCTCCCTTTCAAGTTGCATACACGTCTACTCCTTAGTATCACGTGTTGCCACTTCTTTACCGTATTGCCGGATCACACCATTGCTACATGCTTTGTCGAGCATAAATGATCAAATGCATTCCTCCTCAGGAAACTGCTAGGCCCTTCCAAGCTATTGGAAACAGCTGCCAAACTCGGTAGCAGCCTTGCAACGCCTCTTCCACGTCTCAACTTTGATGCTTGTCGGACATACGTGGCATATGTAATTACCTCACTCGGTAACCCTCGGCTAATGACTCTGCAGTCTCATGTCAAACAATGACTGCAAAGCTCACAGTTGCTGGTGGTTTCGAATCTAGCATGTAAGCAAGGGTGTGGCTGGCTTGGTGCAGCTCGCACTCTCAACAACAATGGCAGGGGGTACATCAAAATAGTCGGAGATGCCAGAGTAGGAAACGACAAGGCAGGATGTGTCTGTCTTTTCACTCCGTCCAAAGCTGTCTTCGGCAGATGTAGGGTCTAGGAAGGGTTCGCCAGGCTCACATGTGCTCTTACGCGGTGGGGAACATGAACTGGGCCTCCTTGTTGGTGAGCCTCTTGTACACTGCCGCGAAGGCAGTCAGCTTGCTCTCAATGTTCTCCTTGTCCTTGTCCTTGGGGTCCAGCATCACCTTCAAGAGCTTGCTTCCGTCCACGGAGATGCGCGTACGCTTGCCCACGATCTCAGTGGGACCCACCAAGTCTTCCAAAATGGAGTCGTGCACAGCTGTGAGAGTGCGGCTGCGCGGTCGGACCTTCAAGCCCTTGCGCCGGAAGTTCTTGTCCAGAATGGTCCTGTTGGCCACCAGCACCACGTGCTTGCGGTTGAACTTCTTCTCCAGCTCCCTAACCAGGCGGCCTTGGATCTTCTTGACAGTCTTCCACACTCGGAATGGGAAGTGTATCACCATGGCCATGCCGGACTTGCCCACCTCCACATCCTTGGCGCCGGAGATGTAGACATCCTTCAGCTCGGTTTTGATGTCGCAGGATGGGGACACTTCAATGTCAAACAGGGCCTTGGCCACTTCCGTGTCCAGCTCGGTCACTGCTGCGCCCTTCTCCTTCACGATCTTCTTGCGAGTGTTCAGCATGGCGGTTGGCGAGCCTTTGAACCTTGAGCCGAAGCAGCTTCAGGTCCCGTCCGATTTCCTTCAAGCACGAGGAATGGGAAGCAATCTTGAGAGTCTCAAGATGCATCGGGCATTTTGGCACTGGTGGGCACCATTGGCTTTCAGAGTCTATCTAAACATCTGGGCCTTGAGAGCTCACATTTTGAGCCCTCAAACTGCCATCGCTGAATTGCAAGGCTTGCAGGAGAGCCGCTCAGCTTCACGGGCCCCTGCCAGGGGCTCTTCAGAGCAAGCTGAGGCCTTCATCCGTGCAACACGTGCAAGAAACATCGCGCCAGCCTGCGGGATGCCCCTGAACTCCCGGAAACCGCAGGCTGGACTTCATTAACGCGTCCGGCTCATGTCGCTGAGCTACCTTGGCGGCACGGCGAGCCATCCTTCTGACATCACGTACAAACTCCACAGCGGAGCCCTCCCGCCCCCCCGACACTCACGTCCAAACTGAGAACGGGGCTCATCTAAGTCACCCAGGGTCCCTCCAAAATGTATTCACAAGGAACCCGTCGCCTCTCTTCAGCTCCAAAATTGAAAGTTCCAGGCGCGCCTGGATTTAGAGGGTCGACAAACCACTGGATGAGGCGTGGATCAACTTCTGGATGTTCGTCACCTCATGCACGTATGTATAGGCCCCAGCGGCTTCAACTCATTGCATGCCGCTGGGGTCGGCATGGCTTTCCGGCAAACGGTCCGACGCTATCCGTCAAGTTGTTCGACATCTATTCTACTTGGTCTTTCGGTTGTCGGAATTTCCGCTGAGTAAGGGGGGCAACAGTGTGACGCAGCACCTAGATGATGAGTAGCACTTGGAACTAAACAGGGCTTCATGGAAGGCAAACAAAGGAACAGGGGTCTTCAAACTAACTAATTACGCAGCCTGCCAGTGAACGGCAAGACAGGAGCAAGAGTTGTGGAAACGGCAAAGTAGCAAATCATGGTCATTGGCCTCCCTCCTGAGGCCCAAGCCTTCAAAGACCCGCGTCCACCTGGCGCTACGGCGAAACCAGTCAGCAAATAAACTTGGGCCGAGCCTTTCCAAAGCCTCCAACTTGAAGACAGTGACTTGAATATACCTGGGCCAGGTAACCTCTCACATGCGCTCTGCTCGTGGCGATTCGGATTCATCCGTCAAGGGGGCGAAGTGCTCAAAAGCCCCTTCTTTACAATGCATTGGCTGTTGGCTGTGGGCTCAATGGCATTTTTGAATCAGCGTGGCATGCCTAACATGGTCCTTGCCCACGGTGAGCCTCCCATGGTCCTTGCTCTCGTCGATGTACCAGGTGGCATCATCAGAGTTGATGCGGTGTGCCAACTGGCCTTGCCACATCCCAAGCGCGGGGGCTAGGCGGTTCCAAGAGCGCAGCCATGAAGCAGCTGCAAGGATTCGCCGACCTCAAAGCTCGAGCCAGTCGGCCTGCTCCCAGCTTCCTTCTCAAGCTCGGGCTGAGGGGGCCGCCGCAAGGTCTACTTGGATGCGGTGGGGTAGAGCCTTAAACCTGCAAGCCCACGTCATGCTTGGGCATGTTGGTCTCCACACAGGGTCCGAGGGTCCGGCTTAACATCTTTGCCTCGGATATCTTTGCCGATGGGTATCCTGATGTGAACCTGGCCCGTGAAATATGCGAACTGAATGGAATGTCCTGTCTGGCCTCATTTCTGGTCTGCAGCCAGGTGTACTCATTCTTGTCACTGCCTTGGCTCAAAATGTCTCGACCCTCTGTTGAGCATTCCGATTCACGAGGTCCACGCCTGTCTTTTCCCACGCCGGACCCAATGGGCCTCCCAGACACATCGCCATGCCACACCAATGCCACACCACTGCCACAAGCCTCATGGCACAAGCCTTTCGCAGCAGATCGTTACAAACTCATTCGACATCTCAAGACCATCCCGCCTGTAAAGCCAAGATCTGCGGAGGGCTTTGCCATGGTCGAGGCAGTTGCCTGCCATCCATTTCAAACCCCCCCCCCCAAAAAAAAGAAAAGAAATCTTGAGCCCTGCGGAGCTCGCCTCTTTGCCCCATGGCCCTCGCCCCCAGTAGGACACGGCGCCTGAGCTGCGAGATCGCCGCTCGGAGCCCCGGAAGTCGTCTGCAAATCCGAGTGCCCCGCAGGCGCGGAACTTTATCCGGGTACAGGCAGGCCTGGAAATGACATGCACAGGCCAACCTTACTTTCAGATGGCCATGGGCATCTGAAGAGACATCCCTACAAGGGCTGTCCATCTCACAACACAAGTCTCAAGAGACCAGGTCTGCAGACAAGGACAACATGCCAACAGCAAGACATGAGCAGCGGCAAACGTGCCAAAGCTTTGACACCCAAGAGAAGGCATCCCGAGAGCAGGGCAATCCTGGAATGACCATCCTCGGTTGCAAAGCAACGTCACGCAACAAAACCCGCAGCGTGCTTTTTCTGAGAGCTTGCTGCAAGCCCTTGCCGGATTACAAGCGTCGCCCACAACGAAGCCCGGCCCATAGAGGAGACTCATGACGTATGCAGCATAGTTGTGGTTCTCGGCTGAGTCCGGGGCTTGAAGCGGTCGCCTTTTTTCAGGCTACCTGGCAGAAGCAGTGGCACATGCTGGCATGCTGGAGCTGGATTTAGCTTCCAGCCACAAAACCCCCTGCCCCAGGATATATCGCTGCGCTGCCTGATTAACAGGCCTGGTTGACCACTCAGGTCCTCACAGTCCTCCATTCTGCTGAACGACCGCCTGCAGGGTGTCACGACGGCTGAATAAATTTTCAACTTTTCCACTGACTGCTGCAAACATGAGGGCTCATCTGAATCTGGGCTAGTTGCTCTGCCCAAACATCGGTGCCGTCTCGGGCAAACGCAACCACAAAGTCCTCCTGCGTGCAACTGATGTAAGGTGCCTCTCCAGCAAACCACGCACAACCCGCTGGTGCCATGCCTCGTGGAAGAGATTCCACCCTTTCGTGGGAGAGATCTTGACTGTGACCTGAGATCAAGCACTTGACACCCACATCTCACATTTGGCGCCTTGCGCGCCAGTGGCAAGATCCTGTTGAAATCCAGCCCCACATGACCCCACCTGTTTGCTTCCAGAAGCTACCCCCCATGATCATGGCGCGCAACGCCCTGCCTCATACATGCTGTCAGCTTTCACCGAGATGCCCTTGGCAAGCTTTCTGCAATGCATTGCATCACGCCGATTGAGGGGTGTCGGGGGGAGGGGGACTGGCGATTCATCTCATCGAATCCCCGAAGCACGTCACACTACATTGAATTCAAGTTCTTTCCGGAACGGTCTTTGTCAGCCAGAGCAGGTCTGCCAGCCAAAGGTCGTACAAACTGGAATAGCCTGAAAGAGCGCAGGGGAAGCAAACGGGATCTTGCCAAACTCTTGTCAGCCAACCAGTCTTGGCCGAGCATCATGGGGCGCCTTTGGCACCGAAGAGAGCCCTTAGCTTCAGTGAAGAAGCGAAGTGGTGAAGGGTCTTGGCCTCGGGCTGCCCTTGCCCAGCTTCTTGCCGAGCCAAACGGTCCCGGCTACGAGCCTCAGTGCAATGCTGACATGGACACAAGTCCTAACAAGTTGCAAGCGCCGAGAGCCGCGCGGCCCCTGCATGGACAGCCTTCGATACAAGCATCGTGTCATCGAGGGCTATCTTCGGTAAGCAAATCAAGCAAAAGGACCAAAGCACCCCACCCAATAAGTGCAACCGGAAAGGTGCTTGTGGTTGCGTCTGTTGTTCAAACTGAGGTCCTGACTCTACTATCCTGCCCAGCCAGCGCGTCAGCCTTGGCCAAGACCAAACAATGCCAATGTCAACAACGCTGGGGCCAGCGGACTTGCCGAAACAATGCTGTCGGTGTAGTGAAAAGCAGATTGGCAAGGTTGCCCACTTCCGAATGGTGCGACGCGAATAGTCGATGTTCCCTTCCTGGGTACAGGATCCTGAGGCCTGAGCCGATTTCGAGCGACACGGACCAGCTTCGACTTGGCCAGCACTGTCTTGGGCAGCAGCCTACACAAAAAGCAACACCCGGCGGTGCTTTCTAGCCTCAGAACTCAGAACCATGAACACCAATCCCTTCCCCATGTTCACTAAGGTCCTTCGAATGATGCAACTGGCTTTCCCAACACGGTCCCCATACTGAACTAGAATTTAGCCGATTCTAAGCCAATACCAAGCAGCGATTCTCCCTGCTTGCCCCTACTGTAAATAGCAGGCCACTAGGAGGCGCTTTGCAGCTGCCAGGAAAGAAATAGCGGCATGCATACCCCTGAGCGAAACATTACAAACATGCACTTTTCCTCTGGCAACCTCGTTCCAGTGTTTCAACCCAATGTCTTCACTCCTTCTCTTTCACCCTCTCCCTCTCTCTTTCTCCAACAAAATTAACTGCTAGCATTGCCAACTCAGACCCAAAAAGCCAGAGGCCCCGCAATGATGACAACTGCTTTCCTCCCATGGTGTCTTTCTCTTTTGGGCGAAGCGGCAGAAGCAGAACGCCAAGGACGATCATCAGCATGATAGTGTCAAAGGCAAGGACGATCCACAGCGGCACCTGGGCAGGGCACTTTGCCGACGCTGAGTTGGTTGGCCCTTGAGGCAGCCACGCCGGGTGGGCCCAACATGAATCTTAAAACCCGCATGATCGAAAGCGAGGCCATGATACCCCGCCGTCCAACGCCTCGCTTGAACCGCAGTGGCTGCTCAACACATACACCAACTGCACGTCCAATCGATCGAACCCAATGGACAAATGTTCACGCCAAGTGCCAGCCGTCCACACCGCACCTGCGCCAGGTTTCGCCAAGCCATTTCTGCACAGAGAGCGCATAGAGCTTTGTTCACGGCCAAGGTCTGGAAGTACCACGCCACAAAATGACCTATGAGTTCCATGGATAGGGGAAAGCAAACGAGGCTTCCCGTTTGACAGGACATGGGCTTTGCATTCCGTGGCCTTTGCCTTGGCGCCCCGAGGAAAACTCTTAGAATTACAGCGATCCGAGCTGGACATCGCGCACGAATCTGCTTTGAGAATGTGGGCCCAAATCCACATGTAGCTCCACTGCCCCAAAGCCACACTGACCCAGCTGGATGCCTTTGTACTGGGCGTGCGCCTCTGAGTTTGGGGGTTTGGGATGGTTTGGGGCCGGCTCAGAGGCCGCAACATCAGGCAGTCCTTCTGCGCCATGAGGTGCTTCCTGAGCAACTGGCAGGCTCCAGAACCACGCCTCACTGCCTACGCGCCCGCCACACGCCTACAGAAAGCAATGTTGTTGCGCCAAGTCAAGTGCGGCGGCGATAATTCCGGGGGCACATCATCTCGCGGCGGTGCTTCAATGAAGGGATCATTTTTAGCTCGTCACCCTGCCAAAGCCATATTGATCGCCAAGGCCAAGACCATAGAGGAGGTTGCCCGCCACCACCTGTCTCGCTGGCCAGTTCAAAGCAGTAGCTCTCCCTCTCTCGCGGCTCGTTGTCTTTGCCCTTGACTACTGACTACGGCGTCTCTTGAGTCATGGCGTCATCCAATGAGAAGCCAGTTGAAACGAAATTGCCAACACAACTACGTCCCCTGAGGCCGCAGCAAGAAGCAAACTCACAGCGAAGTGCGATCGAAAATGCTGTCGCCTGCGCCCACCCATCTGCACTTCCAACGGACGAAATGCAAGTGACCTTTGCTTGGCGCGTTGAGGCCCAAGCTCTAATAAAGGCAGCGGAAAGCAGAAAATCAGCGCCTGAGGCAGCCCACCCCCCCCCCCTTCCCCGGCGCTGCACCCTGGTGTGAAATGATTCTTCAACCACATAATCGGTTGAAAACCCGCGGATGGCATGGACACTGCCTCCACAACAAACAAATCACATTGGCGAAGACTGTTGGGACTTTTATCCTGAGCTGAGCACGCTCATGGGCAAGGCCACCACCTTGATGGGCAGCTTGGGCTCATGTCCGCTCTTGGTGCTTTGTTGGGGTTTAAGAGTCTTGTCCCCCTCCCCTGCCACAAGTGCGGCCCATTTCCAGGTGGTCCTCACGCTGACTGGAACACTCTGTGTCACTTGTTGTGGGATGAGGATTTCGGCTTCTGTAGGGGACATGCAACCACACACACCGCACAGGACAAGTCCAGTTGGCAAGCAGGACGTCTACGAAGCTAAGCACCCGGCGTTAGTGAGCACCACCGTCGCCGCAGAGGCCCGCCGCACCAGGCGCAAGGCACTCAGGCTGAATATCACGTTGCACCTCACGTGCAACGTTCTCCCTCACGCACAACACTGCTGAACATGTCTGCTGCAATGAAGCCTTTGAAACTCACTCAACGCGCCCAGCACGCCCAGCTCAGGGCGCAGCGCCCAGTATGTGAGTGCAATCCTTGACTCGCCGCTGGCATAGGGTGCGCATGTCAGGAGTGCCATTCCGGGAACAATTGAATAACAATCAATGGAAGTTGCGTTCTTGGCCGCAGTTTCTGCTGGGGCCAAGATTGGGAAGCCAATGAAATAATTGCGCAACCTTGACCCCGATGGTGGAACAATGTGCGTTCTCCTTACCGACTCCCGGATGCAGAAAGCGTTGCCCTCAAAGCCAACTTCCCCCATGCCACGCGCGGCAAGTTGGGTCCCCTTGAGCCGCATTCGCCTGAGGCTGAGGCCATGGTGTGGCGGGAATCTCGGCGCCCAGGAGCTGGTGCCAACCCGCCTGACGCCGCGACGCCATGAGCCAAGCTGGATGGCACACCGAGTCAATGGGGTGAACTCACAACCACCTGAAGCATGCTCTGATGCCGACCAGGCCGATTTTGACGCCAAACTGCGACAAACGCTGTGGCGCACAAGAAGCTGTCAACGCTGAGAAGCGGTCCGCAAAGATGCGGTGCCGCTCGTCCAACTCTGGGAGCACCCAAGGCAAGGCAACAAGCTGCGCCTGAGGGACGGAGGCTGGATGTGCAGGATTCTAGTGTTGGATTCGAGTTGGCGTGCCCAACAGCGTGGCAGTGTGTCAGACTGTAAGGCACCTGCTACTCGTGCTTTTCACTCCGCAGCGCGCAACAGGTAAAAGCCAAGTACTTGGCGCGCGGCTTGGCATGTTGACTCACAGGCTGGACATCGACCCGGGCTGCGCAACCACCTCAGGCCTCCAGGTGAGCGCGGCCGTGGCAAGCTGCCCGCTCCAGCAGCTCCAGCAAGGCGCGATGCTGCAGAGCTTCCTCGGCCGCGGCCGCCGCCGTGCCCAGCGCGCTGACATCCGCAGGCAAGATCTGCACCAGGGCCAGCACTTTGCGCCACTGCGAGCTGGCGTGGCAGGTCCTGGTCAAGACGCTGCAGGTCACTGGGCTGGGCTCCAGCTGTTGCTGCTGCAGCTCTTCCAGCAAAACCAGGGCCACCTGCCACCTGCCACTTCTCTCGCACGTGCTCATGACTGCGTTGTAAGTGATGGTGCTGGCTGGAACTGACAGATCTTGGAACATCCGCATCACGCTCAAAGCGGCTTGCCACTGTCCAGTCATGTAACATGCACTGGCCAGGGAGTTGCAAATGAGATCGTCTGGCACAATTCCCTTCTTCAACATGCAGCTGAAAATCCAAAAGGCCTCCTCCCAAGCCTTGCCTGTTTCACACGCTTTGATGGCAGACCCATAGCTGATTGTATCCAGGCTGGCTTGCTTCTCGCACATTGCGGTAAAGAAGAGTAAGGCAATCTGCCACTGCCTGCTGCGCTCGCAAGCGCTGGTAACTGCACTACATGTAACCGCGTCTGCAGACATGCGTGCATTTTCCATCTCGCTGAAGACAAGAAGAACCAGCTCCCAGCGTGCAGCCTTCTCGCAAGCGCTGGCTGCAGCGTTGTAGGCCACCAAGTTCGCCACAGAGCTGCGCCTGGCCTCTGCCAGCAGGCAAAGCGCCTCCGGCCACCGGCCCCCAGCGCCACAAGCGCCGATCCCTGCCGCACAGATCACCTCGTTGAGCCCAGGCCCAGCCGCACTCGCGCGGAGCAGCGAGAGGGCCGCCTCCCACTGGGCGGCCCGGGCCATCGCATCCACTGCCGCACCATAGGTGACCTCGTCCCCACGAACGCCGTCCAGGAGACCGAGGGCCAACTGCCACTGCTGACCCTTGCCACAGGCGCTGATCAGCGCGTTGAAGGTTGTGAGGTCTGGCTGCAGCGCCTCAGTATGCAGTGGATCCACCAGAGCCAAGGCCATGGACCATTGGGCAGCTGCTTCGCAGGCACTGATGGCAGTGTTGTAGGAGATGAGGTTGGGACCAAGGCCGGCGTTCCGGAATTCAAACAGCAGGCCTGCTGCTAGCTCCCACTGATCACCCTTCCCACAAGCTGAAATCACCGAATTGCACAAAACGACATCAACCCGCAAACTCTGACTGCGGCAGCCTGACACAACTTCAAGCGCAAGTTGCCAACGCCCGCCCTTGCCACAAGAGCTGACAGCTGCAGCGCATGAAATTGCGTTGGGTGTCAGAGTTCGGCCGGGCAATGACCCCAGCAATGACAAGGCTCCCTCCCAAAACCCTTGCCCCTCACAGGCGCTCATGGCTGCATTGATGCTAATCAAATCCGGGACAAGCTGGTGCTGTTGCATCTGCTGTAGCAGAAGCATTGCCGCCGGCCAGTTGCCCTTGCAGGCGCTGATGGCAGCGTTGAAGGAGATTCGGTCACCCCTCCCCTGGCGCAAGAGGGAAGCTAGGAGCAAAAGCGCATGAGCCCAGGCCCCGCCCTTCTCACAGGCGCTGATGGCTGCATTGAAAGAAATGGCGTCGCCTTGAACCTGCCTGGCGTTGAGGCCCCAAAGGAGTGCCAGCGCGCTTTGCCAGCGGCCGCAGCTCCCACAAGCGCTGATTGCCGTATTCAAAATGATGAGGTCTGCTTGCAGTGTGGCTCTTTCCAGTTGCTGCAGGAAGCCCATGGCCAGTTGCCACTGCTCTCCCTTTTCGCAGGCACTGACCACCGCGCTGTAAGCAATGATAGAAGGTCGGATGGCTCTACCAAAAAAATGCCCGAATAGAGAAACGGCCGCCTGCCACGCTCTCGTCCGGCCGGCTGAGCTGATGACTTTGTTCCAGGTGGCCTCTCTCATCCGCTTGCCCGTGGACAAGCATTTGGCAAGCAGGTGCAGCGCCCAGGTCCACTTCTGCTTCTTCGCACAAGCTGTGATTGCTGCCGCGTAGTCCCTTTCCTTCACCAAGCCCTTCGACTCTGCCTGTAACAAAACGGCAACCGCCTTGGCCCAGTGCCCAGAGTCAGTTATCTCTTCCGCAAGCAACATGGCAGCGAACCTGCTCTATCATTCCGACGCTGTGCTACGTGATCGCTGTACAGGCGCGGCGCATACATCCCTGAGTCAAACTCACACGCGTCACCGAGGCCAATGCCACAAGCTGCACGGCGGCAGTGGCCGTGCACACAGTCAGAATGATGAGCTCTTGAGGCATTGGTACCTGGGACCAGTCCCCTAGTTACCAACGTGCAAAAGCGCGCGAAAAGGCCACAACGCCAAATCTGACGCTCGCCCCAGTTTTTCAATGCCCAGGTCCCGCGAACCTTTGGCAGGACCCGGTTTGCCTGCGATGAGTCGCCTGGAGCTCTTTGGCCGGATTTCGTGAGTCACAGCTCGTCGCGTTCGTCAGACCGATCACACACCTGTCGGTGCTCAGGGTTTGGCCTGGCCTCTTTTTAGAAACCAGGCTCCAACCACAAGATACGAGACGCCCGCGCGCAGCTCCCTTCTCCTTTCGATGAAGAAACGTGTCAGCCTGCCTTCGCCATCTGCCCACAAATTAAGCCAACAAAGTCCAGGTCCGACCCTCGGCCGCTTCTCGGGATGGCAAGAACCTGACAGCCGGAGAGCTCAGGGTTGTGGTTGCCTCATGGCCTCTGCTTCACCGGGTACCGGAGGTTCAAGCCCCATACGCAGAGTTGGCCTTTGGGCTCAACGGTTCACTTCTCCCGTTTTGACCTGCAAGGCACCTCTCGCAGCAGCCGCTCTCGGTATTCCTGCAGTGTGTAGCGGCAGGCTGCAACAGCATCTGCCTGCAACAGGGCCGTGTTGCCTACATGCCTGACATGGTTCCAGAGCCAAGGCCATCTGGATAACGACCCATATCTTTGCATAGAGATACGTCCGCTAATTACATCGATATACATCCATCATCCAGCCTTGATCTCTGGGCTCATGGCCTTGACACTGACTCTGCCATGTTGGCTTCCCATAGCTTCCTGGAAGTCAACATAGAACTCCTTGCCTTCCTTCTCGACCTCAGTGCAAAGGTCGTCCGGTGAGCCATGCATCTGCACAGCCATGGACATGCAATGGAACCTCCGCGCTTCGAATTCAAACAGCGACAGAAACGCGATGGCCCTGCCAAGGTGCAACAGCCATCTGCTGTGGGAACAGCTCTTCTGCACAGGCTGCTTCCACGCCTAGTCTGAAGGCAGATCGCCGCTGTGCCTCTGTCATCTTCCCTGACAAGATCAAACTTCCCCGACGACCACCAGGTGCCACCAGACACAGTCAAAAATGAGGCCCACGGTGAACAAAATTTGTTGATTGCGATTTCGGCCGTGCCTTTGACCTTGCTCGCAACTTTGCTTTGAAATCCTTGGGGCAGGGGAAGTGAAACACATGCAAACAAAGACACACACACACACACACAACACAACACCGCGCAAACGCTTCGGTGCCTTGTGGCTACTGGTGCAGCCAAGGCACGTTTTGCTGCAAGCTGGCCTCATATCTGACAACGCCTCGCACTGTGCGCTAAGCTTTCAGTGTCGCCGAGTTGCAGGCTGAGCATGCCAAAGCTGGGCCCCGCCGCCGCAGTGGGTCTCCATCCTCATCAAAGCCTTGCTTGTACCTTGCCACAAGTGCACACATTGCCACATCGGCAAACCAACGTTCTGTCCAGTACGTTGCTTGAAACGTGCAAGGTGTGGATTCGGGATGCGTTTGGAAAGTGAGCTTTGGTATCTCATGGTTTTGGACTTTTCGGTGTGGAGCTTGGGGTGTAGGGCTGACTTGAGGGCTGCAGTTGCGAGAAGCAACCAAAGAAACATCCTTTGCTTGAAGCCAGCCAGCTACACAGCGCCTTTGCCCAATAGTGCGTAAATTGGAGTAGGCCAATTCCAAACCAATACGAAACAATTATATAACTTAACCAGCAAATTCTCCCACTGACATCTCCTCCGGTGGTGTTCGAGGAGACTTTGCGCTCAGCCAGCCAGCTTACATTCCTGAAACAAAAACAGTCGTCCGTGAACTTTTTTGGGCCCAAGGGGGGAGGGGGTTACCCAGAGAACAAAAACAAGAGTTGACAGCCCGGCACACCCCGAAAAGAAAAAAGGACAAAAAAAGACACGTGTCTCAATCATATTTCATTTAGATACGTTCACCCAGGATCTCGGCCGGAAGAACCGACATTGCACAAGCCAACGGCTAGGTCCGAGGACCTTAGGCAAGGCTCTGCTTCAGCAGCGCCTCTGCTTCTTGACGGCTCAGGGCCTCGGAGCCTGGACCAAGAGCTCCCTGCGGCCGGGGCTTCCTGGACCGTTCCGTCGCAGGCGCTTGCTTGCAGTTGCTTAAGGTGGGGAGATAAAAACAAAAATCAAAAAAAAGCATGTCATAAGAATACCCCTCCAAAATGTTTAGGCTGGCCCAAGGTTTTCCCAGAATGAATCTATCGTCACGCCCAGCGTCGCAGCCGCGAGCCACGGGGCCCAGAGCGCTGGGAGGGCAAGGAGCGCAGCCCTCGTGCACATTGGCCGACAGAAAGGAAAAGGCAGATGCGTGCCATTGTGCTTGGCGCAGCAGTTGCAAACGGAATTCTTCGTGAACGTCAAAGATCCGCACTCGGGTCTCCCATGAGCCAATGCTGCGAAGGACATATCCGTGAAGTAGGCATGATTCCTTTCCGGCTGCTGGCTTTCTGGATTTCATTGCATCTGATGATCCGCGCTAAGAGTGAGGCCTCTCCGCCCTGCGACTGCTTCAATATCAAATCCTGTTTCCCAAGGCGTGACAATGGAATTACCTTTGTCTGCCTGACGTTCCGTGGTTACAAGTTACACCTCTCAAAACCAGGTCCTTCAGTGTCACCCCCATCGCCAGCAGCGAGTAAGCGCCTCATCAGCGCGGGGCACACATGGGTCATGTTTGTGCCCTCTCTCTCTCTCTCTCTCTCTTGGCCCCCCACCTGCGCACTGCAGCACGTCCTTGGGGCCGGCCACCCGGGTCTTTCTTTGCGGGGTCAGTTTGCGCCAGGGGCCTAAGGCCTAACCGTCTCTGAGGCATGCGCTGGCAGGGAAGCTTGGCCGGGCAGGTGAGGCACGCCTGTCCATGAAGGGCAAACACCGAAGACCCAATGCTGTCCAAATGGAAAATGTGCTATGCGCACCCATTCAAAACATGCCGAACAGCTCGCTACTAAAGCAATTGACATGCGAACCTGCAAGGCAGCTTCGCAGGCGTTTTAACCAAACAATTCATCGCTTTGTCCGATGCAGAGCGTGTGAATCCAGAAAACAACAAGTTCTCTCACATCATGCATCAACTCACCTGGAGGCACTGCCGCGGCAAGCAGCACTCCAAGTAGCACAATGGCCACCTCAACAAGTTCTCAACAGTGCCAAAAGAAAGGCAGTTGGAACCAGGTCCAACCTGCCGGTGACACCTGCTCCAAAATTTGCCTGGGCCACCCCGCGCCGGCAAGCTGAATGAGCTCATACGAGCGATTCAGCAGCAGCACCTGGGTTTTCAGTGACAGGCATGGGGTTATTCCGTCGATGCACCTCTCTCCCCCTCAGGACCTGGCACTGAACAACACGGTGTACGGCACGATGGACTGATTCAAGACCTGGTGCCACGCTAAGTTCAACGGACATCTCAAAGCATGCGAAAAGCACCAGCCAGGCCTGAACCAGTCCGCCGGGCAATTTCGCAGCGGCAGCAAAGACCAAGGGATAGAAGCATCCCTCACCTGCGCATCGTTGCCATGCCGCAGCATGCGAGTGTGCAGCGTTCTTGCAGCATCCGGGCACCCCAGCATAGCCCCGTCAGACAAAGAGGAAACCAGAAGTCAGCCAGGAACATCCGCAAGGGCCCTTGCGAAGCAAAGCGGCTCAGCTTAAGGCCGGCCATGGCTCTGATCGTCCCATCTCCGAACTACTTTGAGGTGCACACTCTCCTGGCCCTCGCCAGCTCGCTGGGCGCGCGGCGGACAGCAAGCCTTCGCCAGGCGCGGCACGCCAGTAGCAGGGCATAGGCCGTCAGCCTCATGGCACCGAGTTGGCACCGAATGGCACCGAGCCAGAAACGCCGCCCGGGGCGCGGGCTGCACTGCGCTGGTCGCCAGCGACAAAAAGAGGCTGTGCTTGGCCATGGGAACCTTGGACGCCAGGCATTTGAGCCACAAACGCTTCGGGTGCTGCGGGAAAACCAACCGCAGACATCACAGTAGACATGAATCTACGGCTTCATGTCCTAGAAGCAAGACAAATGCGGCTGGCTGAACCTGGTCCAAGACCCAGGCAAGAAGAATCCGGTTGGCGACCCGGTTCGCCACAGCAGAACCGAGGAACGTCAGGACCAGCACAGCCCCGCTGCCAAACTGGCCTGGCAACGGCAACCGCAGATGGCGTGAAGCTCGCAAACGCTGATGCTGCGTGCACCTCTGTCACTTGACCAACTGCGCCCTGCAACTGCTGGAAGCGGCACTCCTGGCAAAAGTGACATGACTCAAGACGCTCCAAAACAATCCATGCCATGCAGCTGAGTTTGCATAATTTGATATTCACCTGTGACGGCGCCGATGAACACATAATCAGACATCTCACGTGCGCCCTGGCATAATTGTCCCGGCTTCGAACATGCTTCTCAACGACCTGTTGGATTATGATCCAACAGCAAGGCTTCAAAGCAGCCGGTGCTTGTCTGAGTCTTAATGGGCCATCGGTTTATACCCATGCCCACTGAATGGCATGCCCTGTTTCTCAAGATTGGGGACCCCTCGCAGGTCTTTTGGTGAGACCGCCTCCGAAAACAGGCCCCCCGTCCTCTGGGCAGCACGGCCTTCGCCCGCTCCCGGCGCCGCGCCGCCACCGAGAAGGCTGGGGCCCTGGCACACGGGCGGCTCGTCATTTTTGGAGCGCCGGAACGGTGGTTGCCCTCTGTTTTTGAGGGCACCTGAACCCCCCCCCAAACAGAAAGAAAGAAGAAACAAGGAAAAGGGCGTCGTTTTGTTTGGCTTTCCTTTTGACAAACCGAGGGTAACCTCAAAACAAGGAACCACACCCACTTGCAGGCCAATAGGCAGGCAGGCAAGCCAGGTGCAGAACCATGGATTTCATTCGCTTCAGCAATTGTCGTTATATAGACTGTCGTGCACTGATGTTTTGTTTGCTTTGTTTGCTTTCTACCTGTTTTAGCGATGGTGTTTGTATGCTCCCTTGAAGCAGTTTTCATGAGAAGCATGACGGGTGTTAGCAGAACCTCCGGTCGGGAAAGCACACCGGTGGTTGTGAGTATGGAAGGAACAAATATGATTCAAGCGTTGTGCGGTCTTAGGTTGGTACTTGGACTGGCTTCGACGTGTTCAGACTGAATGAGTTGGTTGAAAACTGATGCTGTTTATATGTTCACACCTTTTCTTAGCTGCATCATATACATCAGTGAGTGCCGACAGTGCCAAATAATGCTGACAGGCGTCTTGCCACCGAGCCGAATGACCTAAGCAGTAAGCTTTCATGTTTGAACCAGGCACCATGCAAGTCCCGTGAAGCACAGTGCAATTGTTTCATAGCCTTGTGGCAGGAAAGGATCCCAAACGCACCAAGGAAGCTGGTGGGCGCCCATGATGCCAGGCAAATTTATGAATCTAGTCTTGGAACAACCTCTGAATGATTGCTTTGGTACGCTCCTTCCAGCACTTGTGTGGTTCCGTCAAGCGGCAGGCGTGTCACCATTTCCGAATGTAGGCGTGCGAAGCCCGGTTGCAGTCATGGACGGCATGGGCCGCACAGGTTTGCATGCAGGCAAGCAGTGTCCAGGACATGCTCGGGTATGCTGGTATGCTCGCGAACGTCTTGGAGTTGCTTGGCGATTGGAGGGGCATTGGAGCACACAGAAAGGCCTCAGTGTTGTCAAGCTGCGAAACTACTTTGATGCTTGCTTTCAATTCGACGGGTCGCAAAAAGGAACAAACCATGGGGCTGCATTCTAGCAGTTGGCTCTCCGGCCCCTGGGGCAAAGCCAAAAGGATGGCAGGCATCTTGCGCAAAGAAAATGCGGTGCGTCGAGACTGCCGTTCCACAACTGAGACTGGGTGCACCTGAGACCACTCAAATCTTGCCACTTGAACTCCTCAAAGCACATGAGACCACCGAAACCCTGGAGTCACAAGGCATCCCTTTTGTCGCAACTGGATCGCCAGCTGCCCTTGAGACCCCTTCTCACATGCACTGACGCAACTGCTGCAAAGCACCGCATCAGCTTGCAGGTTTTGGCTTGTAAGTTCCTTAGCCAAGCAGGGTGTCCAAGCAGGCCGCTGCGAGGGTCAACCCCATGAGGAGGCAAACATGCGCTCAGCCCAGAGTCCGAAAGGTGGTGAAGTGCTTGCCTGGGCACGACATGGCGACGCTTCCCTGCATCTTTTCCACAATTTGCAGCTGAGCTGCTGCCAAAGGGATCCCTTTGCGCAGGCACTGATGCTTGCACTGTATGCAATGAGGTTGGGCTGGAAGAAGCGTCCTTGCACACAGGACGCTACCAATTACTTGGCTCTCGCTTCAGTCCTCGCAGCTCATCGAAAAGCTGAATTGCCACGAGCCAGTGCGAGGCGCGCCTTAGGCCAAAATGACCCGTTGGCCTTTGTTGACATGTCCCCCGCGCGCAATTGTGCGACGGATCTGCTCGCCTGCCCGTTCTTGACTTGCTTGGTGCTTACAATCGGCTAACGCCAGTCACCCCCAAACCCTGCTTGCAGCTTGGGTTCTCACACGCGCTCATGGTGGTGCAAAACGTGACTAGATTCGGCAGCGGCCCACGATGTTTCCTTGCCAAAGGCAAACCTTCTGGAGCTCACACTCTTTGCCATGCTGTTGCCTGCATACAAACCTGATGCCTATCTGTAAGGCCTGCAAGCCCTGAAAGAGTGCTCGCCCGTGCCCTTCTCTCTCTAAACATATGGCAAAAAACAACTTTGCAGCAGGGGACTTGCTCGCAGTGATGACCCTATGATTTTGTGCCCAACCTGACACGCTGACAACATGGTTGACAATATGCTTCCGCCATGAAATTCGGCCAAACGGCATGCCCCGAAGAAGCTCCAGCGCAAATTGCCAGGCCGCACCCTTTTTGCAAGCGCTGATTGCCGCGCTGTAGGCAACCACATCTGCCAGCTTCTTCGCCTGCACCGTCAAAAGTTGGAGTTCCTTTCGGCCGATGCTGAAAGACCTGCAGAAACCAACAAACAACTGGCATTCCCCCGACCCCACAGGTCCCCACAGGTCCCCACAGGTCCCACAGGTCCCCACAGGCCCCCACAGGTCCCCACAGGTCCCCACAGGTCCCCACAGGTCCCCACTGGCTTCACATTCCATGGCCTCCGTGTGGAACAGCCTCAACGCATGCTGCCACCTCGAGCTCTTGGCACAGGCGCTGATTGCAGCACTCAGCGCGATGGCGTTGTGCTGCAGCCTGCGCCCAGGGCAAAGCCGAAAGCCGAAAGCCTGGCCCAAACAAACAGGGCTTCAAGCAGGAAGGGGAAAGCCAGTTTTGGTCTTGGTGATTTCTGTGCTTTTGTTTGGTTTTGTTATTCTTCTTTTTTCACTTTTTGTCTCTTCTTTTTCCGGGGCATCTCCTAGCTCGCCCCTACAGCAGCAGCTGTGTGAGATATTGTAAGCCCATTTGGCGGCCGAAACCCCTGCCTCACCCTGCACATCTCCTCCAACAAATGCAGAGCTGACAGCCACTGGGAACCCTTCTCACAGGCACTGATGCTAGCCTTGCCGGGTGGAGGTTTCCGAGCACGGAGACTACATCAAAACATAGAAAAGGTTCACACATGTGGGTGTGGCGCAAAATTGAAGCACTAGGGTGCCGCAGGTGGTTGTCTTCGTTTCCATTTGCGAAGGTGCCATTTTGGTTCCTGTTTTTGAGGCTTTCCCATGAAAGCGGACTCCAAGTTGCAAGCAAAGTGGCGCCGTAGGTGACGACGTCCGCCCGTTCCCGCATGGCGGACTTTGTGAGAAGCGCGCGTTCCCAATCAGAGCCTTGGGCGTAGGAGCTGATCTTTGCGTTCAAAGTCACCAGGTCTGCCTGCACACGCTCCGCCTGCATCGTTGCCATGAGCTGTGCAGCCTTCACCTTTTGGGAAGCTCGCTCAAAGGCGGTTAGGCTGGAATTGTAGGAGATGTTGTCTGGTGCCAGCATGACCTCCCGCATCTCATGCAAAAGCCCCAGCACATGCTGCCACCTGCAACTGCAGCCGCATGCATGGATGCCTGCGCCGCCCATAGCAGGCTAAACCGAGCGTCACTTTTCTGAGGGCGAGTTGCCCCTTTTTTGACCACCCCTAAGCGCACTCCCTTCACAACTATCGCCAAAAGTGCCTGCGGATCCAAGGCGCCAGCGTTGTAAGTGATGACGTTTGGTTGCAGCTGGTGGGCCCTCATCTCAGCCAGTATCTGCAAGGCTGAGGGCCAATTCCTCGCGATGCCCAGCTGGGTGAGGCGCTGGGTGTACTTCCGAAGGCGGCGACTCATGGCAACCGGTGTCCAACAGCTTCACTCAGCCAAGGTGGGAGGGGAGCACCAGCTTCAGCTTTCGAGCCGGGGGGTTGGCGTAAGCTATGCTCCGTGATCCCGCAGAAAGGCCACCACACATGGTTCAAAGAACCCATGATCGCAGACCTCCAACAACATGGAGAAAGGCTCTGAGAAAGGCACGCATGTATCCCACGCGCCGTGAGACTTTTAAAACCTAGGGCAAAGTCATCTTCGCTTGCGCGCAACGGGCGCAACGGACTGTAGACTAGCCCAAACCAAATAAGGTGTTAGAATGGCAGAAAGCTCGCTGTTCAGCTCTTTGGTGCTTTCTCCTCTTTTTTCTTCGGGTCGACCTTCCAGCAAAGCAATAGTCGTCTGACGTCGCCAGACGACAACGAATTTGACTACAGCACCAACCAAGCATCGCCTTGATGTTGGAGCCAGCAATTGTGGTTCCTGTCTTCTTGCCGTGTAAGGCTTTGGCTTTCTCCGCCTGGCAAGCTGTCCCAATCTTGCCCGCCCCAAATTCTGCGGGAAATGCCGGGCCTGGGTAAGCTTTACTATCTGGATCACGTCCTCGTCATGCAGGATATGATCTCTGCCGCAAACCTGCGGTAGGCAGCATGCAGCGCGCGCCCCCGACCCTTGGCATGCGCGCCTGTGGAGACTGCTTCACGCTGCTGCCCCACACCAGTGCGTTCTTGAAGTCTTCCAGCAAAGATTCTCAGCAAAGCATGGGACTGAAACAGGCCTGTGTTTGCACATCCAGCAGGTGTTAGAAGCCCTGCAAACCAGCCACGCCACTTCTTTGTGCCAACTAAGAGTCTATGCAATAGCTGGACTGCATTCTCGACATTGAACTGCCTGTTCCCTCGCTGAGGTGTTAGAATCAGGGGATCCTTGGCGAGCATGCACGCACAGACACACACACAAAAGCATATCTCGGCTCAAGAAGCAAACAATGAACTCTCTGAGGGGCAGAGAAGTCTGGAAACTGACCTTTCTTCTTTGTGAATACCCTGCAGCAAGCAAGATATTGATGCTTCAATTCCCGCTGGCCAAAGCAGGCCTGACGATCTCCATCTCATCCCATAGTCTGCGGAGAAGATAGTCCTAGGAATGCCGCCGGCCAGCTACGCGGCTTGCAAATCCACACACCGAGCCCTTCATAACACATGGTGATACCATGGCTGCTCTCGGCACAGAGTCATGCCAAGCGCGCTGCGAGCACTTTCTCGCCTTGTTTTTTAAGGCTAATAAAGATTTACGTCTATGTGAATATCCGCAAGCAGGGACGTGCAGCGCTACACACTGCTCAACCAATTTGGCTACACTGCTTGCTTCATCCACGGCAGTGCCAGCTGAGCGGCGTAGTTCCACTTGTTCCGAACCTGAGAGGCAAAAGGGTGCTACTTGAGAACTCAAATGGTTTTCTTGTCTGTTCAGCCAAAACTAGGCGCACACACCACCTTGCGTGTTAAGAAAGCATTGTGTCCAGAAACGGTAGAAGCTTTTCTCTCTGGCATACCTCCAGAAAACTCCTGGGGCGAAGCCTGTTTGGATCTTTTTGTGTCCCATGGCAGGCTTCTCTCCCCGGCCGAGCAGCCGAGACAACCACAGACTGGGGTCTTCTGGCGATCTCATCGATCTCCTCCAGCTTTAGAAGGTCAATCCTAAAGCGCCACTCATTGCCCAAGCCAAGGAAGCAAGTGCTCGGACATCTCAGACTGCAGGTCCAAGCGTCTTGTTGTAGACATAAATGCCTGGGTGAGAAAGCTGCATGTGACTGTAGCTGAGCTGTTGGGGGGGAGGCCGGCTGATGCCCAGCAGCGATTTAGACAGGCTGCACTTGCAATACTTGCGATTGCCGTCAATCACATCTATGAAGTCATCGACAGTGATGTCCTGGCTATGTGCTAGCATCCTCGTCTGAATCACAACCGACAGCCCCTCCTCCTTCACCAGCACGTCTGCACTGTGTATCTTGTACCTGGGCTGGGTGGCTACGAGACAGCCAAGAGCCAGTTGGAAACTCCTCTGAGCTGTCGGCTGCTTCAGCACCGTGACACAAACTTCCTCATCGAAGTGGTTCAATGGGACGGTTGATTGAAATTTCACTCCTTGCCAAGGAGGTGCTGCAGCACTGCTCCCACACCAGAAAAGACGGCAAGCCAAAACCGCACATGATGTCCTCCTCCCTTTGTTGGTCTCACTGATACATCTGGGGGCTTCCGATTCAGGCGGATGCCCACATTTTCTAACTCCTGGCAAGATGCATATCCTATATCTCTTGGACCCGCGCGCCTGTAGCATTGCAGCGGTCCTTTGTCAGCATCTCTTTTTGGGAGTCATCCTTTGTAGGATCCAGGACCTCAAAACAGGGCAACCATTGAAATTGACCGCCCTTCCACACACCATGGTTTAGCCTTTGCAGGGAGAGGCGGGGACGGGACTGCTTGGCGCCCGGCCATGAGAATGATGTCGCAGGACTTTGCAGTAGCCTCAAAAATTGAGCTGTTCCGGTGGCTCTGCTGAAGTGGTGTCTACTCAACAAGAGCACCTATCAATTTCCAGTCTTGGACTTTCAGCCCTTTCTGAAAGGGGTGATCTCCAAGGACCCGGAAGATCTGGTGCATTCAAGTGGCGATGACCTGACGTCCACGGCCTTTGCCCGTTGAGGCGCCTGGCGCATGAGGCTGTCCAAAATCAACCGCTACACAACCCTTGGAGAAAGAAGACCACGGAGCTGATATCCACTCGACATCCCGGCACTCGGGGAACAGAAAAAGCACAAAGAAGCATTGCAGCATCCCTTGGCCTACGATCAAGCCAGGGAGGTCCAAAAGCTGGATCCTCACCTGGACATGAGTTCTGCTCACTCTGGCTATCTTTGGACAAAAGAGGTCTCAGTCATCGAGAAGCGGGCATCGTTGTAGTAGATCACGCCAGGTATGCACGTAAGAGTTGTGAACCTGAGGGGGAAAAAACACACACACACAAGCCGCAATTGTTTACTACGACGCACCCCGGCACGTTGAAAACGGAACGTGCTGAATTTGAGGCAAATACTCATAAGCTGCAGCCTCCGACCTCGGTCACGGAAGGTAGCCCAAAGGCTTGCACTCCTATCAAAAGGAAATTAGCAGCAATCCGCCATGCCGATCTTACTCAAACAAAAAACCACTTCTTACTCTTCGTCCGATCTTTGAGTGGTGTCTGAAATAACGTCTTTCGATCTCTCCCACAATTTCCAAGGGCAAACGCGGCTTCGGCCTCCAAAACAAACCAGTCTGAAAAGTCGATCGGGGGTTTCTCGCGGAAAACATCCCTGACGAGTCTGAGCCCATCACTGGACGCCGGTGAGTGCCGTAAGCAGCGAGGACTTGCCCACCGAGGGGAAGCCCACCAGCCCGATGCGGGCATCTCCGATCTTCTGCACCTCTGCGGATCGGAGTGGGCGGTTTCCAGATGGCAGTTGCGTCTGTTCAACCAGGGCCGAACCGTTGAGCCACAATCAGAACAACCCTTCTCGCTCACTGTGATCGGATGGGAAGGCTCATGGAATTTGCATGCTGCGGCGAATGGAAAGCAGAAGGCAGCAGGCAACTTGCAGCATGGAGTGAAATCATCAGCCTTTGAGTGGGGTGGCCGTCCAGTGCAGCAAGAACGATTTTTACCCTGCCTCAAAGCCGGCGATCTTTCCGCCGCCTGAAGCCAAGGAGCGCTGGCTTGAAGCCTTCAGTCTGAGCCCAGCACCTCCCCCAGAAGGTTCCAGCAAATCACGCTTCAGCTTGCAGAGCTTTGCTTTGAGCCTTCGGGGGCCATGGCTGCTGAGGGCTTGAGGGCGCAAAGGCTTTGCCACAAACTGGCAGCAAAACTCACCCCATCCACCGTTGGTCACTTGCTCCGGAATCTGAACCTTGCCTGCCAATCAGAACTTGGTGCCTGGGGGCCGCGCTCGCCCAGGTGCTTTGCAGTTGCCTCGCAGAACCAGCCATCAGCCACAAACAGCCGCTGGCTACCACTGTTGCTCTCGCTTGTCACTCTGCCAGCTCTTGTTTATGCACGCAGGTCAAACACTGAGTTTAGAATACCACAAGTCTCAGTTTGCTGTTGCCACGACATGCGCTTCGTCTCGGAATGTCTCGAAGCTGCGATCTCTGTTTTTTTTTTTTTTTGTCGGCGGCGCGTACCATACATTATTACACGTTGGAGTTGGTGTGGGGACGGGGTGACGGGGCAGGGGGTTATCTTCACCAAACATCCTGGGGAGATGTCAAGCATTTTCGACACTACCCCAGGCGAATCGCATTGTCTGGTGGAAAAGTGCACGCCGCGCAGCGTGGAAACGGACCCGCCGGGTTGTTTTTGCTGCGGCCCTTGCTTTGTCTTCTCCTAATGTGTGTTGCAGCGTCGTGTCTGCTCTTGCTTGGTGCAGCCATGCTCACCTTGAAATAAATACGTTCCCTCAAAACTGCAAGCCTTGCCAATGGAAGCAACAACCAGCGGTGCCTTTCGGCAAACACCGGCAAAATGCAAGTCCGGAGTAGCACCCGATGGAGGCCAAACCCAAATGGATTGTGCAAAAATATGCGCAGCCCCTTGAAGAACTTCATGCATCTCTCATAGCACCTTTCAAGCCAATCCGCGCCTTGTTCTTCTGCGTCCGGGAAATCTCTAGCTCGATTTGTGCTATCCTCTCCAAGGTAGATCCACCTGGCAATGTGCGGCCGCCGCACGAAACAGGGATGTTAAATCGACCAGGCCAATTCATGCGCATGGCCGGCCTCCCCCAACAGCCTGGTGCTTTGCCTTTGACCAGCCGCCGCCCCCCACGCCAGTGCCAGCCTGGAACCAAGCAAACCCGAGCACCGTTGGCAAACTAAGCCAAAATGCAGAAGCAGGCGTTCCACACTAATAGCTATGGAAAAACCGACGCCAACCTTCATGACTTGAACATGATGCCGCCAATTGTCCAGGCCTTTGATGATGATTTGGAGAAAGATGCCATGAATTCACTTAGTGAGGGCAGCTTGTGTGCACCTGTTCCTAAAGATGCTGGCTGGCTTCGGGACACAACAGAAAGACTTTGGTTGCTGTGCAGGGCTGCCCCCAAGCGAGAAAGACATATCCGCTTGCTATCAGTAGCTGGCTGCACTTAAGCCAGATTCCAACAGATTCCTTGCTGTGTGGCAAGTTGCGATGTGAGTTGTGTGGCCGCTGGATATTTGCCAACTTGAGATCAAAGGCCCAAAGGACAAGAGCACAAAGGTAGGCCCTTGCAGCATGCTTGACGTCCGCTTCCGGGCGACGCCTCTTTCTCTCACGGCCGCCCCCCAGCTCACTCACCGGCAAGACACTTGCAGCAAGGACCATCCTCGACCAGCCCTTCGGCCCTTAAAGTCAGGCCCTTGTTGTGGAGAAGGCCTGCGCGAGGCCTTCACACATGGTGGCTGCACTCTCGATGCCCATACGCGCCAGCGTCGGGTGTTTCGAGTCGTGAAGTACAAAGCTCGGGAGATAGGACCGAGTCATGCGCTCGCGTACATTTCTGGGTACTGCCACACGGTGGCAGTCGTTGGCTTGAAGCCGAGGTTCTCATAGAACGACATTGCCTCACAAATCTTAGAGCCACGAAGGGCAGGTGGGGTGGCATTACCACTACGGCAAATGGAATACCAAGTTTCGGCCCGGCGGCACTGGAGTTGGCTGAGATGCAGAACCAACATAGCTCCGGCATGTTTGCTGCAAGGCACTCAGAGAGCACGCTGGAGAAAAGAGCCTTGGCAATGGCGTGGCACTCCAAATGAATCCGAATACAACTCGCGCCATGGAATGCAACTGTCACCTTTAGCCGTGGATAGTGTCTGCTCTCTGCTCCTTGCCAATGCGGTCAGCATGGCATGGCACATTGCGACGTGCATCTGCGGGCGAGTGGCTCGACCAACACCTTTGCCTGAGTAGAGGAGAAGGTGCAATAAAACACGAATGCAAGCTCTTGCTGAACGAAGCTGCCCATGGTGATGCTATAGCTGATACAGTAAATGCGATCTGGAGACACAAGGCCACTCTCGAAGACAAGGGACCTATGGGTGCAGCCATGGCACCGGCAGCTGTAGGAGCCACGAAAATATCGCTCAGGAAGCCGCGCAGGCCTGTGCATCACACTAAGCCGGTGGCAAGCGCTGACAGCTGCACCTCCATCACGCCGCGGCTGCAGAACCAAATGCGCTGCGCCCAGGATGCTGCCTGCCGTGGCGAGCAGCAGCCGGCCGCTCCTGGGCGAGGGACGGCACCAAATGTGGACGGCGAGGGGGCGACCTGGAAAGCCCCCGCCTGTCGGAGCCGTGGGCACACATCTGCCACACCTCACGTCTGGTTGCCGGCAGCTGTCACACCCACAGCGGGTGAGGAGCCACATGGAGCCACATGGAGCCATGGTGGAGCCATGGTGGAGCCAAGGCACCGCCTCAGCAGCGACCTCATCTTCAGCAAAGGGTGGCGACCCGCCAGGGATCCTCAACTGCGCAGATCATCGTCTTAGGGTCTTAAGTCTCAAGATGACGGACAGGCTCAAGGCCCAAAACTCTGACATCTAGTGGGCAACGGCAAGGTTCTGGGAGATCCGGTACTCCTTGAAAAGCTTCTCCCACTCCACTCGGTCTTCGCTGCTTGCAGGTCTGATCACCACATCCTCCAGTCCCCAGTTGACGTAGAGCAACGCATCTCAGAATCGCAAGTCCTGATCAGGCTGCTTCTCGGCCGGAAGAGGCCGAGGCCGCACAGAAAACCACGATATCGGGAATGGCTCCTTGGATTCGACCGTTGGCCGGGCACAAGCTGAGCATGCAGCGAGTTGCTATGACCACGGCAATCACATGGGTTCGGCTAGCTGCGGCAGAGCAGCCGCCTTCTGCGGAGAGGGGCAAGAAGCCGGGAGCACTAGCCGTAGGAACCTGGATGACGTGTCACATGATTAGCAACGTTGACAAACAGCACAACACTAGCAAACCCGCTGTCAATGTTCAGAGTGAGTGTGTGCGTGTGCCCTCCCAAAAGCAATCGTCGATCTCATGTTGCTGACTATTCGCTTCGCAGAACAGGCAAGACTAGCATGCCAGGCCTTCCCCTCCCTCCCTCCCTCCTCCCTCCCTCTCCTCCCCTCCCTCCCTCCCCTCTCCCTCCCTTCCCTCCTCCCTCCCTCCCTCCTCCTCCCTCCCCTCCCTCCCCTCTCCCTCCCTCCTCCCTCCCTCCCTCCCTCCCTCCCTTCCCTCCCTCCCTCCTCCCTCCCTCCCTCCCCCCCTTCCCTCCCTTCCCCTCCTTCCCTCCTTCCTCCTCCCCCTCCCTCCCCCTCCCGCCCTTCCCTCCCTTCCCTTCCCTTCCTTCCCTCCCCCTCCCTTCCCTCCCTTCCCTTCCCTCCCTTCCCTTCCCTCCTTTCTCTCCCTTCTCTCCCTCCCCTCCCTTCCCTCCCTCTCCCTCCCCTCCCCCCCCTCCCTCCCCTTCCTCCCTCCTCCCTCTCTTTCTCCATGGGGGCCACAGCATTGCTGTGTGTCCCGTCACGGCGCGATTGCGCGCGTTTCAAAACTGCCAAACTGGTCAAAAATCAGTGGAACTGTCCATGCTTGAACTGTTTGCCTAGAGAACACGCTAGGCAACTTGGTTGGCGGCATGCCGACCCTGCTGCGGCAAACCCCTTTTAGCGAAAGGATGCGGGTCGAACAAATCATTGAAACATGTTGCGGTTCAAGAGCTCAAGATTGTCCTTGACAAAGCAAAACGCTTGCACCCCAAGGCCAACCAGCCCAGAGGGCTAAGGAGGCGCCTGTTGAATTCCGAAGAAGGAAAAAAAAGCGACAAAACAGCGGCCATTCGCAATGCGCCTGTGTCCTGGAGCAACCGTTTGGACCTACACTCCGCCACTTGTTTGACTGCAGGAGGGCGGGTGTCCCCCTTTTTTTCGGGCGGGTCCACTCCAGTGCCGGCCTCCAATCTGGATGCCTTCTTCGTAGCTCTGGGACCATGTCCCGCAGCGGCACATGCAACTCCTAGGCTGCCGGGACCCTCAATCTTGGGGCATCAGCCGCGAACACAAGGCGCCAGGCAACAGGGTGCCCTTTTTTGTCTGCGCCAGAAGGGCACACGGGTACCAAACCCAAGTCCGAAATGGCAGGCCTCCAAGCTGACACCCTGAGAGACCTGAAGACCCCCGCCTTGCCATCCTCGACTGGATCAACTTCCATCAGCCCGCCTGGAACGCCTCCGAGTTCATATTGAAAACCACACTCCAGCATCGCCTGTTCCGTGCCCCCAGCCTCTTGCTGTGTGTCGATACGCGCACACGCTGATTCTCCAGCATGCATCATGGATTTCCTCCATGGAAAGCTGGGCTTAGTCTTACCAGAGCATGTGGCTCGCATGCCGCGCAAGCAGCTCAAAAAGGGTACGAGGGAACAAACATGCTATGTAAAATATGTAGCACCTCTTCTTTCTTGATAGCTTCGAGCCAGCTGCTTGTTTGAAAAGTCGCACAGGCACATGAATGCCTCTGTCATGAAAGCGCACCGGGTGTTTAGAGCCGTTTTGCGATCATGCAACCTGGTCTGGAATCAAGGTTTACAGAAAGTGGGATTTGCCCACTCTATACATTCCAAAATCCCAAAATGACCCTGGACAAAGCCGTCATCTGCGGAGCAGTCATCTACCCGACAACTGCCAGGAGATCTGCATAAACTGAGCTTGGCCGAGTGAAAATGGCCTCCGCCGCAAACATCCCCTCGTCTAAAAGTGGGGGTAGGTGATGAAGAAAGTCGCACATGAACCACACAAACAGTATGGAGAGGAATGCCTGGCATGCACAAGAACCGAACTGGCCAGCTGAAGATTGAAAGTTGGAATCACTGCGCAAGTTCCAACAAACTACTGGGCACGGCTGCATCCTCAACCAGTCCCACACAGGACATCCAATTGAAGTCAAGGTGCGCTTCGCGCAGTCCGCGCCAGCCAAAACGAATGGAACATCGCATGAAAAAGGGAAGCACGAATTTGTTAGCATCTAAACTCCGTTGATAGAACCTGTTTGCAGGCGACTCACAAAGCGAAGAACCTATTGTAGTGTCAATGTCAAAAAAACAATCCAAACAGCATAAAGGTAACACCAAACTCTGCCTTCGCAAAGATTCAAAAATAGTAGAAACGTGACAACTCCAAGTCTACCACTTGCTCATGCTGCTGTCGGCTGTCCAACTTGAAACGCTGTCAGCCTGTACCTGCGTGGGAAGTCTTCGCAGGCAACGTCAAGAACTTGTCAGCCGCACAGGTTGCTTGTCACCTCCTCGCCCACCAACGCTGCCACAGCCATAGGCTGGGCATCCAGGTCCTCGCTGGCCGCCTTGCTGTTGCGACGAGGGCAGTCCGCACAAGCAAACATCAAGGGCTTGTCAGGGTGCAGGCACTGTGTCTTCCTGCAGCATGCGTTGCTTGTCACCTCCTCGCCCACCAACGCTGCCACAGCCATAGGTTGGGCATCCAGGTCCTCGCTGGCCGCCTTGCTGTTGCGGCGAGGGCAGTCCGCGCAGGCAAACATCATGGGCTTGTCAGGGTGCAAGCACTGGGTTTTCCTGCAGCATGCGCTGCTTGTCACCTCCTCGCCCACCAATGCTGCCACAGCCATAGGTTGGGCATCTAGGTCCTCGCTGGCCGCCTTGCTGCTGCGGCGAGGGCAGTCCGCGCAAGCAAACATCATGGGCTTGTCAGGGTGCAGGCACTGTGTCTTCCTGCAGCATGCGTTGCTTGTCACCTCCTCGCCCACCAACGCTGCCACAGCCAAAGGTTGGGCATCCAGGTCCTCGCCGGCCGCCTTGCTGTTGCGGCGAGGGCAGTCCGCGCAAGCAAACATCATGGGCTTGTCAGGGTGCAAGCACTGGGTTTTCCTGCAGCATGCGTTGCTTGTCACCTCCTCGCCCACCAACGCTGCCACAGCCATAGGTTGGGCATCTAGGTCCTCGCTGGCCGCCTTGCTGTTGCGACGAGGGCAGTCCGCGCAAGCAAACATCATGGGCTTGTCAGGGTGCAGGCACTGTGTCTTCCTGCAGCATGCGTTGCTTGTCACCTCCTCGCCCACCAATGCTGCCACAGCCATAGGTTGGGCATCCAGGTCCTCGCTGGCCGCCTTGCTGTTGCGGCGAGGGCAGTCCGCGCAGGCAAACATCATGGGCTTGTCAGGGTGCAGGCACTGGGTCTTCCTGCAGCATGCGTTGCTTGTCACCTCCTCGCCAGCTGCCACAGCCATAGGTTGGGCATCCAGGTCCTCGCTGGCCGCCTTGCTGTTGCGGCGAGGGCAGTCCGCGCAGGCAAACATCATGGGCTTGTCAGGGTGCAGGCACTGCGTCTTCCTGCAGCATGCGTTGCTTGTCACCTCCTCGCCCACCAACGCTGCCACAGCCATAGGTTGGGCATCCAGGTCCTCGCTGGCCGCCTTGCTGTTGCGGCGAGGGCAGTCCGCGCAGGCAAACATCATGGGCTTGTCAGGGTGCAGGCACTGTGTCTTCCTGCAGCATGCGTTGCTTGTCACCTCCTCGCCCACCAACGCTGCCACAGCCATAGGTTGGGCATCCAGGTCCTCGCTTGCCGCCTTGCTGTTGCGGCGAGGGCAGTCCGCGCAGGCAAACATCATGGGCTTGTCAGGGTGCAGGCACTGTGTCTTCCTGCAGCATGCGTTGCTGGTCACCTCCTCGCCCACCAACGCTGCCACAGCCATAGGTTGGGCATCCAGGTCCTCGCTGGCCGCCTTGCTGTTGCGGCGAGGGCAGTCCGCGCAGGCAAACATCATGGGCTTGTCAGGGTGCAGGCACTGTGTCTTTCTGCCGCATTGGCCCTGTGTTGAGCTTCTTGATGAGATGGCTTTGCGGCTGACCTTGGGAAGTTCGCTCACACAGTTGCAGGGCTCAGTTTTGCTTGAAGATGCCATCCAGCCCATGATGCTTCCAAGCAGCACGACACCTCCGGGAAGCTGCCCTGCATGTGAAATAACGCGGCGTCACCAAGTTCGGAGAAGGCACATCTAATAAGAAAAACTGTTCATGTTTCCGAAGGAGTCCAGACCGCACCTTCGCACGCCGGCCGCAAGCGATGCCACACCCAGCGCCATTGGCAGCCCCTGGGTGCAAGCTAGATGCTGCTGTCTGCCTTGCAAAGAGTCCAGATGAGACAAGGCACCTGTGTTGTCAATCCGCCATACCGCAGTCCACCACGAGCCGCTGCGCCTGCGCTCCAGTGGTCCAGTGGCGAGCAAGCGCCCAGAAGTAACAACATGAATCCTGCCTGAAACACTGCAACTTACCGGTTTGAAGCAAGTATATGTGAAGCCACACTCATGCCCAACACGCCAGTGTCTGATGCGTGACCCTTCCTGTAGCTGGCACCACTGGTGCTGCTCGCGAGTTGGTCAGGAGAGCCACTCCTGCGGAAACCAACGCAGGAACACCAAGGCCTCCAGATCAAAATGCAAGGCCGGCAAAACGAACGCAACTGTACCTCAACACTGCAGCAAGCTGTCACCCTTGCTCAAGCCAAGCGAATCTGCTCCTCCGGCGGTAGATGTGATGGCGGACATGGCCTTCGGCTCGGGAGCAAGTGGCGTCGCCTGCGGGTAGTGACGCCTTCCCCGTTTCAAGTTGTAGCAGCGACAGCAGCAGCGACAACAGCAGCAGCTGCGGCGGCGGCAGAAGCACAAGCAGGCAACAAGCACAATCCTGTTGCCGACGTGGTCCTTTTACATCACCGGAGGGAGAACTGCAACCAACTTGCAGACAAGTCAGGAAGCCTACAGCACGTAACAAGCATCTCACATTTTGACGACTGCCCGAGAATCGGAAATGATTGGAAAGCCAGTCCCCACACAGTGGCTCCAAGAGCAGCTACAACCGATTTTGTTTGCTGTCTCCCTTACCGCCAACATGCGGCTGCATTCGACGCGTGTCCGTACAATCCGAGACGACTAAAGCGACACTGCGACACTGTTTCAAACCGGACCAGGCCTCACACCAGCAGTGCGGTGCGTGCTGCAACCCAAGGAAATGATGCTGACCGGTGCTGCGAGCCAAGCATATTGCCCAGGAAAGGAAATATCAGACCGATACTATTTCCTGCATATTGCCCAGGGCTGTGTTATGCATCCCGGACCGCCTCCGAACCATCACAACTTGTTTGACTCTCCAAGCCTTACGTCTGCAAGGCACGCGAGCCTTTCAAAGGTGAGACTTGGCTTCAGTGGGGCTGAAGCTCGACTACGGTGAAACCTTTCGGCCGATCTTTGCCACTGTGCCAGGTCCAGGCTTTCAGGACCATCGCAGCCCGAGACTTCAGCTGCGGGCACCTTGAGGCATCAGGCGTCTGTCGAGGGGCCATCTATGGCCAGCTCATGGTACTTCTTGTACCTGCCAGAACTGCTCTGCCCGCCTCTGCCCAAGAGCCCAAGATTCTCGTGGGAGTTTGCCTTAAAAATAGAGAGATATGTTGAGATGCCCGCCTCTGCCTGAGGTGGAAGAAAAACCGGGAGCGGTAGTCCTCTCCAGGAGGGACCTTGTTAGCAAGGGAGGCAAGCACACCGCGCGCGACGTGCAGTTGTCACAAACTGCATGTTGTGGGCAGCCTGGGATCTGGCCCAAAATAGAAGGGGCTTGAGCTGCATATAACCAAGCATGACCTGGTTTCCTCAAAGTGACCATCTCAGAGCATAAGATTGAACTCGACAAAGCCCGCCAGCATTCTTAGCTCAGCACGACATAGTCGGGGTGGGGTGACGAGGTGCTCCATATCTCTTGCAGCCTTGCGTCATTCAGAAGGTATGAGCCAGTGACAGGAAAGGACACATCATAGACATAACAGAGCAGGATACTCTCCAGCTCAAACACATCATAGACATAACAGAGCAGGATACCTCTCCAGCTCAATGTATGCAACTTCGTCCACCTCGCCCTTGGCCAATGACAAGCTCCTCGGTGCTTGGCCGTCCACATGCCCACCCTGCTCGGTCCTCAAAGCCGAGGCGCGCCAGGTCGGGCACCGTGGGATAGGTCGCCTGCCCGGATTTCCCACGTCCCGTCGCTGAGCTGATTTGCGGAAGTCTGAAAACAGGACACCGTGATGTAAAATCACGTTACTTCGAGCAATCTCCGCCAAAGACATTTGCTTGGCCCATAAGCGGGACTGCAAACATGCTGCTTGCTGGTGCGACGGCAAAGAAACTCAAACCAAAATGGAACTGACCCCTAATCCGCCGACGCCAGTCGAGCGTGTAGATGGCAGTCCGCAACTTGGTCTTCCTTCGGATCTCGCATCAAAGCCGAAGGCTTTTGGGGCTGCCATTTTTTGGGCATGGTGTGCTGGGTGTCCAAAACCCTGTAATTTTCAAGTGTTTTTGGGGCTTGCCTGCTAAAAACCTGCGTTTCGCCTAGGGGGGGGGGCTCCCCCTGACGCGCAGGATCTGCATCCCCAGCATCATCTGCCACCTTTCTGCCATGAATTTGTCTCTTTTTTTGCAGATACTAATGGTGTTTTGCGATGTTAGAATCGGCCTGTTAGGGGCCTGGGTGGGGCCAAGTGCAGTGATACGTTGAGGAACTGTTTGCAAAAATGAGTGTTTTTTGCAACTCCCCACCTGTACGGAGCCGTTACTGCGAAACATCCCCTGCATTATCGTGCTGTTGGAAGTCTATTTTTAAGGTATTTGAAGGGGGTTGCTAGTATCTGCTTTTGATGGTTGATTTTTTCGAAATATCAACAAATCCTTGTTTTTTGGATTTTTTTGTGGCCAGCCGGCTGCATTCCCAGCATTCCCGACATCTCTGGTATTTTCTGTGTTACGTCGATTTTGCGTGTCTGAAAGTCTTGAAATGTTGGATGCGAAGATCGGGTCTGTTCCTGTACGCTGTGTGGCTGCACCCCTTGCATTTCCAACATCCCCAGCATCTGGGACATGTTTCCTGACTGAAAAAGAAGGCCTTGTTGTGGCACTTTCAGACTTCCACGAAAAAGAAAAAGGTCTTAAAATGCATCGCAATTTATTGGCGTCGGCGGATCGCGTAGCGATTTCAATAATTCCTTAGCTGTTACCGAAATCACGCTGCCTGTTTGGTGGCAAGCCCTTGGAAGGATGACAAGGAGAGCCCCGTCTGTCCCTCATGTATAATGCGCCGAGACAGTGGGGAATTTCTTGCGTTCCCGAATCTCACTGGCACGCTGCTTTCAGAAGCTCATTTTTCCAGCCCCCAACTATCGTGTGTCAAGGATTTTGTCCCTCATGTAAAATGGCCGAGACAATGAGAATTTCTTGCGTTCCCGAATCCCACTGGCACGCTCATTTTCCAGCCCCCAACTATCGTGTGTCAAGGATTTTGCCATGTTCAAGACTGCATGTTGCCTGGGAACCGCATGATGAACTCTCTTTTCAATTGCCGACGGGGGGGAGGGGTCCTTAGTCTGCTCTTTACCCAAAAATTTCCCCAAAAATCTTTGTCGGTTTTTCGGTTGCAGGCAACACACTGGCAGGTTCAAGACTGCATGTTGCCTGGGAGCCGCATGATGAACTCTCTTTTCAAAAGCCGACGGGGGGAAGGGGTCCTTAGTCTGTTCTTCACCCACAGAGACGAGACGTAAGCCAGACAAGCCTGTTGGGCCTCGTCTCGTCGCTTCGCGACGAGACAAGGC